TTTAGTGAAAACTTGGCAGATATTGGATCGTTTGATCCGAAATCAAACCAAACCAATATCCAAAGCTCAGCCCATTAGCTATGGTATTTTTAGTCTGTACTTTGTAAAGATTATCATTATTAAACATTATCATTGAGTCAACCAAGTAAACTATGCAAAATTTAATATAATCTTTACAACATTACATGGACAAACGGGTGGACGGCCATAAATAAATAGACCCACAATGCGATTTTATGGAGATCACCAAAAGGAGCTATAGGTCTATTTCGTTTCTTTCTATATGTTGGAAAATGCGACTGGGGTCTCATGAATACCTAACAAGTAAAAAAGCAGCTTTAATACCCTTTACCATTTGGAAGGATCTTGGAAAATTAAAAAAAAAAAATCCGAAAACTAACACTTAATTGAAAACCGCTATATGGGGACTAAACGAAGACGTGACGAAATTTTTTGTCATTTGCGATATCAGAATTCCTGGTAATAATGTTGGTGAAATCATCAAAATACTGACTATCGGGAGGTACCGTTATATGGGGGCTATATGAAGACGTGGACCTGCACAGACAATTTTCTGTCTTAGGCTGTAATACCCATCACAAACTTCAAATACGAAATATAAAAAAAAATCCGGTAAATAATGTCGCTAAAATCATTAAAATACCGAGTATCGCAAGGTACCATTATATAGGGCTATACAAAAACGAGGACCGGCATGGCCCATCTACGAACTTATCCTGCCTACTGGTAAACTATGCAACATTTTAGCCTCCTATCTCAATTCGTTCGAATGATAGCGTGATTACAACAGACAGAGAGACGGACATACATACGGACATCATTAGATCGCCTTAGAATTTTACGCTGATCCAGAATATATTTACTTTGTAGGGTCTATTATAAAGGAGTTACAAACGGAATGACAAAGCTAATATACCCTCCGTAGAATGGTGAAGGATATAAAAAGGTCGGTGCAATTATTGAGTCAGAAAACACAAAAATAACGAATATGGTGACTATACAAATATTAGTACCGTACAGAAAATTTAATGTGAGGAGAAATTTTACCGAATGAGAAACTGAAATTTCAAATTACAGCTGATTCCAAAATACCAAATCTGAATGGATTCGGATGTTAATTTCGCATTTTTGAGCTTCATGGATATTCAAAATATTGACCCTTTTGTGGGTGAGGAACCAGAAGGAGTGGACCCATATATCCCATATTGACAGCAGATCTTGTGTTAGTACTGGGAAATAATGGGATGTGTGAAATATGAACCAGAAGGAGTGGTGCGATATTGCCCATCTCCGATTACAGTCTAAGTTTGATAATAATATTGCGATGCATCAAATTTGAAGCAAATCGGATACGACCTTCGAGAGTTATCGTGAACACCAGCCAGACAGACAAATGGACTAACACCTTTAGTTCGACTTGAAATTACATTTTATTTAAAAAAGAAGAAATTGAAAACTCGGACAACACAATAAGCAAGTTGTAGCCGAAAAAATAGAAAAATTGTTTTTGGTCTTAAAAAAGTAAGTAAAGGTAAAAGATACATTTGGAGCAAACTTGCAACATTAAAAAAATCTTTTGAAAATGCAGTGCAGTTATGTGGGATCTGTATGAAAACATCGACCCGTATAACCGATTATCTGCTAGAGAAGGCGAAGCCAGTAGCGAACACTAATGTGCCTAAAATCGGCAAAATACCGACTATCGGAAGTTATCATTATATGAGGGCCATACGAAAATGTTGACCTGTATAGGTAACTTTCTGTAATAGAAAATGGTACCCATTGCGAATACCAAATATAAAATATCCGTTCCGTCGAAAAATGTGACATAAATTCTCATGGGATATCGTTAGTTCTAGTTATATGGGGAATGTAAGTGTAGACCTTTTATAGATGTTATAGATTTATAGATTTAACAAATTACCTCTTTGGTTCGACCGTAACATTGATTTCCATTTTCCACTATTAATCATATCCAACAATAAGACGAACTTCCACCAAGATCAATGAAATATTTCTCTTTGACACTTAAAGGATTCCAATATGAATTTCTTTTCCAAATTTTGTGGACCAAGCCAAAAAAAATGATCACTTACTTTTAAAACACGTAGCACCGTGACGAAAACTATATTGCACATTCTCTCATTATACACACTCACGAGAGAACTAATAAGCAAAATAACTGAAAGAACAACAAGGCTTGCATTGTGAATGAAACGAACGAAGTATATGTATTTTTATAACAAATTACAAAAGAAAACACATTTATTTTACTATTATTTTATTTGCCATGATTTAAATTGCACTTATTCACACTTTTTCTATTATTTAAAATGAAATATTTCTTTAAATTTGATGATTTTCCATTAACGAGTAAAATTTGCAACCGACCGGCCTATTTCTTTAATTGACAACTACAGGAAGAGGCAATTGGCAAAACAGTGTTGCCAATACGAAGTAATAAATGAAGACAACGAAAGTCGTAGTATGTTCAGCCGAGTTGAATCATTCTAAACTCCACCAGAAGAGAATAAATTTAAATATGCCCATGTAATTTGGTAGCCTCATATTGCTGAACCTCATATTGTAGTTCAAAATGCTTGACAATCTTTGATATAAGAAGATAACCAGCTATGTTTTTTAAATTCTTTTTTTTTTTTAATTACACTCATTTGCTATATTGTTTTACATGATTGTAGCATTTGATTTTCATCCCGCTGTTACTCATATCCAATAAGAATGACTAGAATAAAACGGAAGTCCAACAGGGCCAATAAAATTATTCCCTTTTGTGTTAAAGGAATTCAAACAATTACCGGTAACGGACAAAATATTAAACATTTTTTATCATTTATTTACCAAATTTTGCATAACAAACCGAATGCTTTGATTTCAACGATTTTAAAAGCAATTGAAAGATCACTCACTGCTAAAACATGCAACACCGTAACAAAACCAACTATATTGCACATGCTCTCATTATACACACTCACGAGAGAACTAATAAGCAAAATAACTGAAAGAACAACAACGCTTGCTTTGTCACATAAACTAAAGAATTTTATGTATTTTTATAACAAATTACAAATGAAAACACATTTATTTTGCTATTATTTTATTTGCCATGATTTAAATCACTCTTATTCGCACTTTTTCTATAATTTAAAATTAAATATCTTCTTAAATTTGATGATTTTCCATTAACGAGTAAAATTTGCAACCGACCGGCTTTTTCGTTTAATTGACAACTACAGGAAGAGGCAATTGGCAAAACAGTATTGCCAATACGAAGTAATAAATAAAAGCAATGAAAGTAATGGTATGTTCAGTCGGGTTGAACAATAAACTTTGTGTTTTGTCGTAAACTTCTTCATTTGCGCCAGCGCCACTCGCCTGAGTGGTTTTTGCTGATCAAACTCCGGAAATGCAGCTTGCAAAGTTATTATATTTCTTTAGGTGTGAGTACAGGGTGAGATGAAAAAACTCCAACCAATTTCAGACTGCTGTTATTTCTAAGCCACTATTTCAACAGCTGTTAAAATTATTCCAGTGACAGCGCATTATATTGTTTACAAGCGTGCAAAAGCATTTTATTGGGAATTTTCAGGAAAAAAGTTGTTCGTGATGGAATTTAGGCGTGATAGTGTGATTTCTTTATATTTGGCTGGAAAACCAAAAGTGGCTATCGTTAGAGCACTCCAGCATTTAAATGTAAATAAATCTTTTGTGTCTCATACCATCGCTCGTTACCGTGATACTGGTAGCATAGCCCGACGTCAAGAAAGTGGACAGAAGAAAACAGCAACATCAGCACAAATGGTTCGAAAAGTAAAGAAGCGACTTGATCGAAACCCGCGTCGCAAGGGCCAAAAAAATGCATCGTGAGCTGAACATATCGCAATATTTCATTCGGCAAATATTGAAGATTGACCTGGGGGTAAAGCAATTGACATTCCAAAAAATGCAAGAACTTACACCGCAACAGAAAGAAAATAGACTCAAAAAATCTAAAGAGTTACTTCGCTTGGCCGAAAGCTGTGAACTTCGAATTTGATTTTCTCCGATGAGAAAACATTCGTTGTCCAGCAGTTTGTCAACAAACAAAGTGATCGTGTTTACTTGCTAAAGAGGTCAGCTGAAAATGTCCACCTTCGGTTGGCCACAAGAACTCAAGCGCCGGCCATGGTGATGGTGTGGGCCGCCATAACAGCCGATGGTCGCTCTCCGCTCGTATTAATCGACCGTGACATCAGAATAAATGCCGAATATGATCGCGAAAATATTCTGGAGGGTTTACAAACATTTTGGCCGCAGACCTTGGACATTTCAGCGGGACTCAGCACGCACCATCCAAGAATGGTTACAAAATGAGGTTCCTCGCTTCATTTCCAGCGCACAATGGCCACCAACGTCTCCGGATACCAATCCGTTGGACTATTGTGTCTGAAGTATTTTGGAAAGAAAATTTGGCACTAAAAAATACCAAAGTGTCGATCAACTCAAGCAAGCACTTCGACGAAAATGGGCCAAAATACCGCAGAGCAACATTCAGGCAGCATGTGACGGTTTCATTGGCCGTTTTAAGACCATAATTCGTGCCAAAAGGTGACCGATTCGAGCAAATCTAAACTCATTCTAAAATTTGATGCTATTTCCGAAATGTCTTGCTTTCATTCAATAAAATTAAAAAAATGTAAAAATTTTGGCGTTTGACTTTGTTGCAGGAATTGGAAATTTGAATCCACTGGGTTTAGTTAATCTAGTAAACTGTCAACGTATTATGGGACTTTGTGCCTTTTCTCTCTCTAATTTACAGAATTATTAAAATTGACAAACTATGCTGCTAAGTCTTTTTTTTAATTTTAATTTTTTATAAGCCTCCATCTTCAATTCTCTCTTGTCTCTTGACCCTTGATCTCTGAGTTGTTGCCAACTAGATCCGGTAAAAATTATCATTGAGAAGAATGCTTAACTGCCAATTGAATTTTGTGACTAATTCGTTTATTTGTAATTAGTTTATTTTATTGATTGTTGATTTTATTTGTTGGTTTGATGTAATTATGTAATAAAAAATCATATTAAAAGCTTCTGTTTTGTTTTTGTTATGCTCAATTAAAATTCTTTGTCTTTTTCATATTTGTTATTTCATCATGTTTTAATATAGAAATGGTAACATTTGAGATACGATTTTACTTAAATCTTTTTTTGTTTTTCATTTGTAACAAATCGAACTTACTAAAGTGTACGAAACAGATCGAATATAATTTATATATATGTATAATTTTATTGGTTTATGTCGCTATATGATATATATGCATATGTAGACTATATAAAGAAGAGCATGTACATATGTATGCATTTTTGTTCGAGCCATTTTTTATTAGTTCTCATCTCAACTTATTCCACTTTCCGCAAAAATAAATGTACAGTTGTTGGTTGGTTGATTGGTTTTATACACTAGACATACATAAATATAGTAAAATATCTCGTTTGTGTATTTATCCTTAGCCTTTACTAGTATTAGTAGTGGTACATACATACATACATATATGCTTAATTATATTAACAGAAAAAAAGAGTTGTGTTTACACATTATTAAAAATACAAAAAAAAATAGTAATAAATTAGTGCAAAAAAAGAAAAAAAACGAAAACGAAGATAAACTAAGAAAAAAGTTTTGAATTCAAGTGCTTAGATCAAAACTAGGAGAGGCGGTAGGTGTTGTTGCTTGCTTGCTTGTTGTACGACGATTGTGGTTGTGATGATATATTGATATACAAGGAGAATACACGGCAAGAAAATTAATGCAATCAAAAAAAGGTAAAGGTTTTTGTCATTCGAAGCAAGATTTTTCTTTTGCTTATTTGGGGAGGCATTTCAACATTAAAAATAATAATTTATAATAAAAAGAATAGCTACAATTAAAAACAAATAATAATAACCGGAAGCACCTTATAACCATATTATTTCAATACAAAAAGTTTTTTTTGGCGTGCTCGACTGTAAGGCATTTTATGTGTTGTGTGTGTGTTATTTAACAGTTTACATTTTAGAAAAAAAAAACAAACGTAATAACCGCAGCCATGATTAGAAAGTAAAAAACTAATACATAATTCCTTAGATGTTTTTTTAAATAAAACTCTCCCATGACTTTTTCGTTTTGGTATGTGATTTTTTTCTCCTTTTTCATATATTATAAAGCATGAGATTTGATATTATACGAGTGTGAATGAATGCGCTCTATGTATATTGTTTGTGTTTTATTTTCTGTTGTTCGGTCGACCACAATGTAATTTTTCCCCTTGGCAAAAAAAGAAACACGAAAAAATATTTTCCAATACTCTCCTTCTCCAGGTATCTTTGAATATTTAACGAATTATTTGTTTTGTTATTTTTTTAAGTTCTTTACTTTGGCTTAATGTCTATTATCCTATTTTTCATTTTATTTATTCAGCCGCCGTCACCGCCGCCGCCATTGACTTCTTTTTCTATCCATCCTAATCGTCATCTTCCTCATCACATCACAAGTATGTATATTAAGAGAAAAGTTGAAGAGTCTATCGGAGGGATTTGACACTGCCGGTTAAATCCTAACGACTTTGACTCTTCGAGTGTGCAATTAGCCATTGAAGCGTTATATCGATGTTATCTTTCTCCTTACAGGAAATACTATAACAGCATATTTCTCTGTCTTGTATGCTCGATAAATTCCTGAAATGAAATGAAATTTGCAAGAGATTAATAGATGAATTTAATTTGTTTGAAAACAAAAATTATGTTATAAGTCTATTTTCATTTCTATCCATTTTATTGGAAAATATTAAATGAACCTCCTAAAACTATGCTTCTTTTTTTTTTTTTTTTGCATATTTATAGACATTACTCCGTCATGTAACTCTCTATTGTGAATTAAAATTCATTATCTTATTGGAGTATTTCGGGGACGGCAAAGATAGAATAAAAGAATTTTCACCTTTTCGCTCAATTGTTTCCAAGCTTTCGGTCAAAAATTATCTTTTATCAATACAATATATTTTAAGAATTGATTGAATTAGAAATCATTAATAGCTTCTTCTAAATAATTAAGAAACCCCCAAAAGACTTGTTTAAGCTGTTCTTTATTGCGTTTAAACTTCCGTTGTAGCAGTAAGCTAGCTCCTCACCCGACCTAGTTTGTCCAACCTATATAAATATAGGGATTCAAAAGTAAAAAATGTTTTTTGTCATAGAAGTTATTTTTAAAATAACTTCTGGGGAGAATATCCCAGACAAAAACAAGGGAACTGATGAGGATTGGTGGCTCTTTCCGAAACCTAGGTATTCCCTGCCTTACCCCCTGGTAAACATTACCATCGTTCTCCACTAATAAACAAACGTTGTTTTTATAAAAACAACAATAAAGGGATAAAGCCAGACTATTTTGCAACAACAGAATGGAAGTAAAATTTTCAAAATAATTACAAAAGGATACAAAAGTAAGTGTGCTGGCATTTACAATTTTGATCCAGAAATTCTTCATAGCCATAAATAATTTAAAGAAGATCGTAGGATCAGTGTTCAATTTCTGTGTTATTGTAGCATTGGTATCGACGTTTTTTCAGCTTTTCTGGTTCTATTTCTAACTCCATATTTAAAAGTCCAGCTTGGTTTTTTGTAAGACTTGGACTTGTGATCAAGAGGTCTAATGCATAGCTACCAAAGGTCTTAGGTAACTTAACAATAGTGGATTAATCTGCAACTCCATTTTCACTTGATTTTTTTCTTTGTTTGAAGCCGTAGTATTTACGTGTTTTTTCTGTTGTAGTTCTTATTAAAATTTCAAAGTTCTGCCATAAATGAAATTGCCGACGGGGCTCTCAAACTACCGAGTTGAACTACGAGTAATGTTTTCGATCGCCGCTCTGCTATTACTCAAAAATGTCTATAGGAATGAAGCTTCGAAGATATGGCACGATAGGGTCATTGCCGGCCATTAACGGGAGAGGATGATATTGAATTCTGCAGACTATGTGATTTCTCATCAGAGAGAGGCAGAGTCTATTGTGTTTATTGTTAACAAATTTCAGAGACATAGACTGCTGGGTTTTTCCCTTCCTACGTCAATGACACGCTACACTAATCAAATTCTCCAAGAGTCTATGGAGTAGACCGGACAGACATCCATCTCCAATTTTTGGCGTTACGACTACAAATTTTCGCTCTTTTCTCGTTCTTTTTTTTTTTTTCTATAATCTTCTTTTCGGTTTCACTCCATACAAGTCTGATCAGTATGAAAACAATGGGCGATCGTTCTCCGAGGGTAGTGGCGAATTGATACGACTGCACTATTCTAAACGTAATTAGCCCATAACTACCCGGGTTTGCTCAAGCAGCCGAAGTTCTGGGAGGTAGTGTGCAGTCTGAGGACAACATACATACTGTAGTTCTTGTTGTAGATCCATCTGATATGCTTCCTTATCTATATTATCTCTCTTTTATCACTGGACCTCGTCCTCTCTCTCTAGATCATAGAGATTCTTCCTGAAATCCCTAGGTGGGGGGACTTCTATCCACCACACAATGGTTTGTATGACTCCCACGGTAAACTCCAGCAAGTACTGCGACGAAAGCATATGATTTTGCTGGCGTAAGGGGAGAACTGGAGCCGCATAGCTGACCACACACAGACCTATCACAATATAAGAGATCACCAAGGTCTCTTTATCGGCGTCTTTTAATACTTTTCAGTTTGTCGCACATGGACGACATGCTTTCGAATGTGAGCACTAGAATCTTGGTGTAGTTAGTGGTCCGAATTATATGCTCCTCAACCTGCACAATCTCTGCAGTCCGCAGTGTTTAAAGTGTGGACGTTGATTTAGTGCCGGATATTTTAGGGTGGGAGAGTTGTATTCATCATCTGATTTTTTATATGACTACCATTGCTACACCTGCGGCAAAAGCGACCGCACTGGAGGCACATAGCTATTGGCAGACCAGTATATAACGTTATATGTAGTATCCTTCTGCGCATCACAAGCGCTGCCGCCAAATGTCTTTAACGGGTTAGGATCTTGGGGAAGTTGATGTGCAAAATAAAATGTCTTTCCGCATTATTATCTTCACAACCTATGTGAGCGTTGACATGCTGGGTAGAGTGTTTTAAAAATTTCTCACTGTATGAAAACGGCAAGTTCGGTGAGTTAGGAATTCAACCTAGCATATATGTCCTCAGCGTTTTTACCCGACTTCAAATTGTACAATCATCTACAAAAACAATGGACACTATGTTGTCTAGAAAGCTTGGCCTTTCTGAAAGGGAGACATCAACCCTTTTTTGACACCTCACTTTTTAATGTTCTAGACTTGGTGAGGATTTGAATCATGGTAAAAATTCGAATCGTCTCTAATCCGGTTTTTTATTATTAGCAACATCGGTCATCATACACCATATTCCCACTATTTCTCTGTGGTTGTTCGACGAACTGACTTTTAAAATAACCCGCTCACTTTACCTGCTCTATCGCAGGAACAACGTTAAAAACCATCAATTTCAGGGTACTTAACCATTGACATAAATCACAATATCAGTCCCAATGCTACAACATTTCAGACAAACTACCTATCTATGGTCATTGAAATTCCCTAATTCCAGGCTGTCATTATATTTTATTCTGACACTGATGTATATATGGTAAATTAATACAATTTTGACGTCAAATTGCTCGTTCGGTCATTCGAAAAATATTCTAATTGACTTTCAAACCAAACTATGGTACCTATACATCTTTAGGGTGATCTAAATCTAGAAGCCCATTATAAATACAATTTCAAATTTCACTTACATTCGTTCAATTAGCCCAGTTTCATCTAAAGCACCTGGAAGATCACGTTTATTGCCCAATACCAATACCGGTATACCAGCTAATTGTGGCTTATCTAATAACGAATGCAGTTCATTCCTTGATGCTTCCATTTTATCCAAATCGGCAGCATCCACCATATATCTGCAATATAAATTAAAAAAATAAGTAAAAAATTGTATTTGCCAAACAATAAGTCACACTGTTTATTACACTATTGCATTAACGCCACGACAATACCGCTCCCACATAGAACGGAATCTGGGTTGACCGCCAATATCCCAAACTTTAATTGTTACATTACCCTTGGTTATGCGACGCATATTGAAACCAACTGTAGGAATCATGTCTTCCGTAAATTGACCAGACTGCAAATGAAAAGAGAAGAACAAAGAATTAATCAAGATATAGTTTGGCATGTTATTATTATTTACAATGTCCAATGCAAAGAGACGATTAACTTATGTGGGAACATTTTCGAAGAACTTCGCCCATGAAAGAATGAATTAACTGATAAGAAAATTGTGTCGAATTAAAGAAAAGATCTTTGTTTGTTTATTTATGCCCTATTTAGTATTGAAGTGGGAAGGAGGCATGGAATCTTTAAGAAACAATTTGAGATCTTCTTTTAATTGGGTTAGTAATGTATAAAAACACTAATTCTTTAAAGTATTTTTCTTTTGCTATATAAACGGATTTCCAAGAAGTTTAAAAGTTTGTTTATTTGATGATGCTATGTATGTTGCATCAGATTGACCACGTCCGTGTGGCTTTCTTATAATAAAAATTAATATTTGTTAAAGAAATTAGGTGGCTTAGCATGCCCTTCATTAAATATGTCAGCAAATTAAAGCACCCAGATTATCGGCAATTTGATTACCGATAATCCTCCATCTTTGAGGAGAGTTAGAAGATTCTCTAGATTAGTGCAGGGATAAGGACGGAAACAGTACGAAAATACTATCTATGGAGATCGTCCACCGTCCTTCAAAAACTAGAATGTCCACCAGTCCATCGGAGGAACCAACGAGGGAAATCCCCTGATTTGTATGAAAATGGAACTCAATATGATCAGTTTTTGAGTTTATGTGACTTGATTTATTACAAATGTCCCGAAAGATATGTTCATCGAAAGTATTTTGGTGGTCTGGTAGTCGATATGACCGCATCAAAAGAATTGTATTTACATCATAAACTGTTCCTCACAATGCAAACTTAAAGTGGTGTTAAAACAAATTTTTGGGATACACAATGAATCATTTTAATATAGGTATAGATTCTTATGGGGGTAATTCAATACTCCCATATCACCGAGAAACAGAATGGGAACAATGCAATTAATCATCAGCCAGAACAAGTTTGTTAAGTAAAATTTAAGAAAATTGTCTTTTGCTGAAAAAAATCACAATGCACTGTAAAAGAATAAAATGGACGTAGGGCCGAAGAGAAATCTGTTTATGCGAAACAAAAAAGCTATTTTCAAAAAAAGTTTCCAAAATTTCCCACATTCGAAAATGAAAAACAAAACAAATATCATCATGGCAAGTTATTACGTTAGAATAGTTTTACTTCTACCCGTCTAAGAAGTTTGTTTGCCTCCTCATAAGCTTTTCTTTGTCTTCTTTGTCATATTGTACATTGCCGCTACTATTCGTCGTGCTGTCGTTCATATGTTACAACAACTGGAAAAGAAAACCACCCCCAAAACACTTTCCACCATCTTTCGCACAGTACACAATATGTGGGGTAGCGGAGCAGTCCAGTATATATATGCGGGCGGGCGGTCGGTCGGTCGAAGGGTTTGGGGGACGTGGTAATGACAGTATGTTAAAACATTGATGAGTAGTCCAATTCAGAATCATTTTAGTATGTAGGTGCCACTACAGCTAATGTGTGTATGTACATATGTTTGTTGGAACTTCATTATTAGATCCATCCAGTCAATCATCCTTCCATCCATCTGTCCATCTCATCAGCGAACCACAAGAAAAGCAAACACAATAGTAAATATACTCACGGCTATAACATTAACAAATGTTGTCTTCCCCGAATACTGCAGTCCAACTAGTGTCAATTCCATTTCCTCTTTCCAGAAGATGCTCTTGAACCAATCCAATATTCTGTTGATCAAAGCTAGCATTTTTGCAAGTTTTTTTTTTCTAAATTATATACAACGAAATCACTTATTTCGCCCTAACAAAATTTTTATTATTGACGCCCAAATAAAATAAATTTTCCCCTTCGTGACGATTAAAAAAACGTAGTTATACTGAGTAGTGCCGACGGCGGTAACGATAAAATGATGGTAACGGCGTTGACCAGTTGTGTTATCATTTGCAGTGAATAGCAGCTGACTGAATGGGTGTCACCATATAAAGGGAATGAAATCGGCAGTTCGACTTGACAACTTAACATTACCGTTATTTCAGCTGATTCTTGTTTTTTTCCAGTGAAGGAAAATGAAAGAGAAGTTTGAAACTTTAATACTAATAACAGTACACATTTAAATAAAATATTTCTTCAACTTTCCAATACACTCTAATTTAAAGACTGCAATTTAAATGCAACCGTGCAAAAACAATTCAAGAGGATTTCGTTCGTCACTGCTTCTGCAGAAGCATATTGGCAAAAATTAATTATTGTGTTCTTGAAGAAACAGCTTCTCACATAATTTCCAATTGCGACAAATATGATAACAATAGGAGATGCTTTCAAAAAGTGAAATTTCTTCGTAATTTCCCAAGTCTTCTTTGGTCTCAACATGGTAGCCATAGATGATCTGTCAGAAATTGTGACTAATATGATATAATTTTCCGACGTATCGTACATACGTCGAAAAAGTCGTAAATCTACCAAATAAGAGTTTTCGACAGAAACAAGGAGGTTTAACATTTGTCAAGCTTTTTTTAGTGTTAATGTTCACATGTTTATCAACTGAATGATCGTTCCATACAGGCAAGGCTACGAAAAGCAATAAATAGATACTTTACAACAACAAAATACAGGTGCTCAATTCTTGTTCTAAGAAAGTCTGATGAAAACTTTAATAAAGGCGAAAATGTGAAATGAAAAAAATTAGAAAGAAACATTTTTGAATTTCATAAAATCATAGAACAAAAATTCATCCTCAGCAGCTTTTAAGCTCTCTGGGATAACTTTGTCAGATTTGGAAGATTTTCGCAAGGAAAGATTATAATCAGCGATGTTTCAATAATACGGTTATCAACCAACTTGAGTTTAAAACTAAAGGTTTAAGGCATTTTAAAACTTTTTCACGTTTTATACAGGTATATGACTTTTACAACTTTTCGACAGTCAAAAATTTATAAAATGATGATGGCCCAATTCCTGAATTAAATTTGTCATCCTGATTAAAAATGAAAAAACATCCTTTTTGTTCTTCGCTAAGCAAATATTTGTAAGTATGTAATGTATGTAATGTTCTTCGCAGCAATGAACGTTAAATTTGGTGGACCATGCCGAACACCTCTAGAGTTTATAGCAACTTGGGATTTATATATGAGGTCTTATCGGAGAAGACGCAAAAACGTTGCAAATTCGTTACAAACCTCTTCTCGATCCGATTATCGTATAATTATGATGGGTACTTTATTAAACTGATGTAACTTCGGGTTTAAATAAAACAAATTTCAATTTTAAGAATTCTTATTTATATGCTTGTGTTTTTTTCTTTCTTTTTTATTTATTATTAATAGTTACCATAATTATTATAGTAGTAGTAATAGTTGTTGTTGTTCATCTTCATCTTATATTTCATGTAGTTGCTGTTATCATTTCTTTTATATTTAATTGTATATAAATTGTGTGAAACTTATTAACTAAAATGACACAAAAAATAATTTGTCTTATTATGGTTATCTTTAATTTTACGTTTGTTGTTGTTATGTGGTTCGTTCATCGTTTTCTTTTTGTTAATATCTGTTGTAAATCTATTGTAAGTGCAATGTTTTTTTTTTGTAATTGTTTGTTTTGGAACAATGAAAGCAGCTGGCTGATGTAGCAGCGAACTAAGAAGACTATTTTAATTCATTTTTTTTTTGTTGAGACTGCAGTTTATGTTTCTTTTTTCGTCTGTCATTTGTTACAACTGTTTGTAGTATACTGACATTTATTACTTCTTAAGTAATTTTGTGTTTTGTGTATGTGTGTATTTTTGTTTGCATTTTAATTGATTAGAAATATTAAAAACTAATTATAATAATAATATTTGTCATCTTATATATCTGTATGACTACTACATATCCATGATGAAAAAAATACATAAAACATTGATTTTTTGTTTCTTTTTCGAGTTTCTTATTTTTATTGTATATTTAATGATGATAATGGTGGATGATTGGCATTGCAGTGGATGATAAATATGAGAGTTTATATATATTCGTAATATAATAATTACTTAAAATTTAGTTTTGTGTGTGTGTGTTCTCTTTTTTGTTACAATTTATAACATAATAAGCTTGCATGATGATTTCAAATATGATCTCAATTTACAGAACTCATCATTCTACATTGATTTATTTATATATTATATTAAATGTTATTTATATGTAGTTGCCGATGAAAATATAAATATACTTTCACCAAGTTTTTATAAATTTTATAAAATACAATGTAATCTACCTCTTCTCATATCTATATAAATTTAATTTCCTTTTGAAAGTAGAAAATAAATAGACGAGCCTTTTTCATATATATGTATTGTGAAAAAAGGAGTTGAGGAAAAGGAGAAAACATATTCACTGGGGGTTGGTGTCTTACTACAAATGTTGATTTTTCGTTTTTTTTTTTTTAAATTAATAATTCTTATTGTTATTATTAGCCGGCATTAATTACATAAATACACTGAAATTTTAAAAATCAATTTACAAAACGTTTCATTTGTATATTTTAGAAAAGTTCTAGAAGAAGGGTAGGACTATTTTGCATACTAATCGAAATTTTACTAAAAATATTACGATATAGACGGGAGCCCAAGAGATTGGTATCAGACCCGTCATTTCTAAGGCAGAAAGCGCTTTTGGCAGAGAGAGAGAAAGAGTAATAAAACCCAGGAGGAATACTTATAAGGCGCATAGGAGAGCGGTAAACTTATAATAATAATCGATAATTCTATATCGAACCGCCCAATATTACTTTTTGAAAAAAACTTCAGCTTCATAAGACACTATTTTAATGCGAATCTGAAACCGACGGGTGAAACCATTCCCACATCCCAACTAAGCAAAAATTCGGTACCAAAGAATATAATAACAAATGATGTGACAAGGGAGAACAAATGGAAGTCATCTTCAAAATTTCAACAAAAAAAAAAAAGGATAGTCCATTGCTTTAATCTGGTTGCGGGTTAAGGAGATGGAGGGTCCTTTGTTTGAAATTTTTAAGAAGCCTGTTAGGAATTTTACGATATGTGAGGCACCAACTCATTCTCTCTGCAAAAAAAAACAACATTTTGACTCTTTGTTGAGAAAGGTGATGGTAGCAGAGAGATGGAAGCGAGAATCTCTCGGTTACACTATCAAAAGACAGTCCCTTATTAAACAGGACAACGGCTATGTCCTTATACTTCGTCTAAAACGGCTTAGTCGAAACCCCGAAAGAATATGCCAATGAAGAATGAAGTGGAGAAAATCTAAACAGAGCTTCAACGGTTGGTCGGAGTAAGCCTATAGCATAGGCTATCATTTAAATAGGTTAAAAATGTTACATATTTGGCTAATCCTCGATGTAGCAAGGGTTAAACTTTATACGAAGTCGTATACTACCAAAGACCTGTGTAGGTCATTGACTTTTGAAAAGTTTACCCCTTGCATTGTACATTAGAGGTGTGTACCAAAAAAGTAACCTCCTGCTGTCTGATGGCTCTGAAAGCATCGAAATCCAATACTATCAAAATTATGCAGAAACGTTCTTCAAGGGCGCATAAACTTCAATCATCGTTGCTGCATACCTGGCCATGACAATGTCATTGGTAACAATTTGGCATATTAACTAAGTAGACGCAGATCTGAGTTACTTGACAAAAAGTATTAAACACTTGGTGAAGTCAGCTCTTCGTCCGACTGATTATAGAACATTATTCCTGTAAGGCCCACAAAACACGGATCGATGAAATGAAATATGATGAAATAAAAAAGTATAAGTATAAAATATCTGCCCTCCCCAACAAAATTTGAAATAAAACTTGTATTTTGTATGATTACAGATCACTGCATGACGTCCATCATATGGGTGATGAAAAATAAATCTCCTCCTGATAAACGAAAACGTTTCTCCTTAAAGTGGATAAACTTTTCAAATATCTTCATTACAAAACACAGAACAATCTCTGTCCTTCCCTTTCAACATTAAATTACTTAGCATTGGTTTTGTTGTATTTATGTAATTAATGACTTCTAAATACATAAAAAAACATAATTATGCACATTACTATTATATGATGAAATGATGATATAATGAAATCTAAATTGCACACAAGTATAGAGAGATTCAGTATAGAATAAACGAAAAATAAAATTAACTTTTATCTAATGTGAATGAATATTTACAAAAGCTGATGATATTTTGTCTGTATTTCGGAAATAGTTTCAGTCCCTCACATTTTATTTAGGGGTTTGACTCATTTTGAGGGAGGCATTAGAAGGAATGGACCGATGTTATACAATTTCGCGCCTATCCTGATACAAATACTAGGATTTGCAATGTTTGAACAAAATTAGATGACTTTTTTGTTCTATGAGGTAAGTAAATTATTTACTATGACAATTTTGGCCTTTTGTGTTGCTGAGGTGCCAGAATGCCCGCACCGATAATGTCCATCTCCGAACTCGATCGAAGTCCAATAACAATATTACAATGAGAGTTACAGGACGCACCAGCCAGACGGACTTACAACGCTAGATCGACTCCAAATGGCGTGAAACCGATTTCGTCCAAAGGTAAAAAGAAGAATGCAAAGGCTACAGACGGGTGGAACCGCTATGCCATGTACCAAACTCTAACCCTTCCAACCCAATTGTAACCTTAAAGCGGTTTTAATATTAAGAAAATGTTATGTTTTGAATCCAATATATCCAATTAATATTTTGCAAAAAAAAATATTTTCAGGTGTTACAAAAATTTTAGCCTCATCAAATTCATAATACACTCACTCAATACATTTTTAAGGTTATGTTAATAAATTTGTCTAGAGAAAAAAAATGATTATTAGATATTAGACCTTCAATTGCAATTACAATTAATTAAGGAGAGATTAATTTAGAATTATTTTGGGCACATTTTTTTAAATATTCAAAAGTCTAACACGAAAACTACCGCTTAAATGAAAACCGTCATATGGGGGCTATACGAAGAAGTGGACCTGCATACGAAATTTTTTGCCATAAGATGTAGTACCCATTAAGATCTTTCAATCCGAAATTTGAAACGATTCCGCCGAATAATGCTGCGAAATACCAACTATCGGGAGGTTCCGATATTTTGGGGCTATACGAAAACTTGGACCTGCATACACAAATTTTTGTCATAGGCTGTAGCACTCATTACGAACTTCAAATACGAAATTTGAAATAATTCCGGTAACTTCAAGAATCAAACCATTAACGAATATATACCAAACACACGGTCAGCTTTGTAGAATCAAAGTGTATTCATAAGGTGACACAGTAAGACCGTCCGTCTCTTGCTGTCAAAGCTAAACTTTTAATTAAAAATATAAAAAATGTTTTTATTTTTGACGAAAATATTTGTGCAACATCAGAAACATTCGGAAAAAATTAAAAGCAAGAGAAGACCTTTGCCTGAATTCGCCTTCTTTGCGACCTTATTAAACTAATTGTCAAATTCTGATTTAAATAGATATTAAATGTATACCATTGCTCCGTTCACATTTTCGATCGATCATTCTCTGCACATTCACTTTTTCGTTGACAAAAAAATAAATCAGATATTAACTTATAAATATTTATTTAACAAAAAATGAATCAAAATTGTTAAACTTTTTGTCACGGGAACCACACTGCCGAGCCGCAACTTTCAAAGTAAAAGTGAAAATAACAGATTATAATTTTAAACAAATATTCAACTTTCCCACTATGGTAAAATGTTTTGAACGTTCGTATTACCCAAATACGCCAGGTCCATACCTTAAAATCTACCGAGTAATAACTTTGTAAAAATTTATCCTTTTTAACATTCATGCAATTGTTATATTTTCCAATTACAAACATTCACATTTTTTATACCCTACAACACTATATGGTATTATAAATTACCATGGGGTATTATAAGTTTTATTGGGCCAAAAATTAACACATCGAAATATTGGTTTTCCACATAGGAAAGTATATATAGATCATCCTATCTCTGTGGCATAATTTCAGAAGCAACATTTTCGAAAATGGATTTCGACATATTGTATCACAGGGTCGGCCACGCACGACTATAGCCTTTGCTTACTTGTTTTATTATTCATTTATAGTTTCAACACACATGAAAAAAATTTAATTGTCAATGTTGAAATTGTTCAACTTTGAATTTTCGAACCCAAATCGTCGGTTAACTCTCATATAAAAACATGTGTTTAAATTTTGTGGTAAAAGGTCGACTAAGTCGTCGAATTTTAGGTAACACTGTAATACTTGAAAGGTATAAATCATCAGCTCGGGACATTTCATTTTCTGCAAGAAATTTTTTTTATAAAAAGTAGTTTGGATTAAAATATTTTTTTTTACACAACCAAGAAGAAATAGATCGCCTAGTATCCAACGAGCGCTTCCATGACTTTAATCCAAAAATATCACATATAAAATCTAAAAAACAAAAGTCGGAGATTTCATCACAAGCAGGCCAAACACTAGAATACAAGACAAGAATCTCAATATTGCTCCCTTGCAAACGTAAAATAGAAAAACTGAACCTTGGATAAATACTGTATTTCCATTTATCGAAATTCGAGACAAAATTCATTTTCATTGTAAAGAAGAGGAGGAAGTATAATTTTTGCGCTTAAATGGTGGTTAAAAGTTATGTATAATAGTATTTAGTAGCAAACTAATTTAAAATAAATGAAATAAACTTTAACATAAGTACTAAATTAAACATAGAGTGTATATATATTAAAATAAAAATATGCTATTTAGTATATATATGTATATGCAATTACTACTAAAGGAAGATATAAATCTTAGGGCTATATACTACTTACATATTGTACATATCTATATATCATTATTATCGTAGTTTTTGCTGCTGGCCATCCAAGAAACGTGGATGGTTGGATATACACATATATATATGCCACCATATGATATATACATATTTACCATATGTGAGTATATAACGTGATAATAATTTGAAGTAATCATTTTATAAGTTTTTCTTGTTTTTGTATTCTTTTTTTTTTTGTTTTGTTTTCATATTTCTAATGTTCAATAGAGAGAGACACGAGATGGGGGGGTAGAGGGGTAGGCGGACAGAGAGGAAACATGAATACATGTTTACACATCGATTATAATTGCTTGGAGTATGGCCAATTTTCGCTTTGCATTTTTATTATTTTTAAATAGAATTGCTTAGTTTTGTGGAAGTGTGAGAGTTGTGGAATCTTTACAGTTCTAGTTAGTTTACCATTAGTGTGTGAGATTCCATGGGCGCCGCCGAATCATATAGAGTATCGGTGTCTTGTGTTGGTTCGCCCTGTAGTTGACATTGATTCGATAGGGTGCCGGCACCGCAATCGCAAAAGAAACTGGAAGGAAAGGAAAATTAATTATTTAGTAAAATATTTAGTTTTAACTTATTTTTTATTTTTTCCTTAGAAAATCTGTATTTTTATTTACTTATTTGAACTTTAGTTTATTCCTGGTGATAAAAATTGTTTGGGTTGAGTGGTGGTGAACAAACTTACCGATCGTGCCTGATGAATTCTACATCATGTCCTGCATGACAATTTTTAATACAATTCACACAAATGGCATTGCGATCTGTTGTATTACATGTTTGACATCTATAGAAATCGTGCATGGGAAATGAAGTATAGCTGCTTATTTTGTAAAGACATTGACCACCTGAAACCGCCTTCTCCACTTCGTCTTCGTTGTTGAATATTTGATTGCCCCGCGTAATGGGCTGAACGCCACTGGCCAGACACAGGCCACCAAATTTATTCTTAAATATTTGATTATATTCCAAGGTGGCGGTGGCATTATTTGTTATCTCCACACCTGCTGCTTGGCCATCGTAAATACGATTGCGTCGCAAAATCGGATGAGATTGTGTTGAAATCAATACCCCAGCCTGTGTATTGCGGAAGATATCGTTCTCCTCTAAAATACCTTTGCCACCATTGAAGATGCATATACCACCATCACGACCATCGTAAATTTTATTACGTTTTAGGGTGGGATTTGAATCGGTTTTTATCCAAACCCCAGCCATGGCATTGTCGAAAATTTCATTTTGTTCTAAAAGGCCCAGACCGCCGTTGTATACCAGAACACCACCGTTTTGACCACCCCAAATTTTATTGCCACGTATCACTGGATTACTGCCCGTACGTATTTGTACTCCCGAATAGAGATGATTGAAGATATCGTTATCTTCCAGTTTTCCATGCCCATTGTCATAGAAATAGACACCAACCTAAAAAAAAAATTTTCAATAATTAATTATCCATATACCCAAACGAGCATTGTTTATCCTCACCTGTTTACCGGAATGTATACGATTCCGCCTAAGAACAGGTGTGCTGCCTGTTGTTATCCACACCCCAGCCAAGGTGTTTGAATATACTTCATTCTCCTCAATCAGACCCTGGCCTTTTTCGTGCACATATATGCCACCATGTTGTCCATGATGGATTTTATTGTGCCGCACAATAGGATCACTGTTTGTGCGTATCTGTATACCGGCCAAGGCATTGCCATAAATATTATTGTGCTCAATCAGACCACGCCCCTCACCAAATATATATACACCACCCTGATGACCATTGTATATTTCATTCTTACGTATGGTTGGATTGCTGTTTGATGTTATCCAAACGCCTATAAATATAACGATTGGGTTAAAATTTTGAAAGCAATAAAATGATTTTCCAACTAACCAGCAAAATTGTTTGAATGTATGCGATTCTCAATGAATTGACCCAAACCATTCTCATGAACATATATTCCACCCGTTTGCCCGTGGTGGATTTCACATTTGACTACAGTAGGATTGGCACCAGCCTTAACCTCGAAACCTGCTATTCGATTATTGTGAATATCGTTCTTTTCAAAGTATCCCTGAAAATAAACCAAAAATTAGTTTATTATTTTATGTTATTAATTGATTGTTGTAGTCTTACAATTCGAACATTGAACATTTAAATGGTAAATAAAATATTTCCCATGTTAGAATTTGCAAAAAAAATGCACACAAGCTTCTCCTTAACTTACCATGCCATTTTCAAATGTAAAAATGCCCACATCTCGCCCATGATGAATGTGATTTTCTCGCATAATGGGACTGGCGAAATTCTTTACCCAAATTCCAGCCAAGGCATTTCGGCTAATTTCGTTATGTTCGTACGTTCCTTGGGCATAGTCGGTCACGTAGAGACCAACATTTTCACAATCACTAATGTCACAATTCCTTATAATGGGATTGGCATTGACGCCACCCACACACACCGCCGCCCCCACAACCGATGAGCTGCGTATTATGCAATTGTCCACTGTCGGTGAACAATTTTCTCCAATATCAAGACAATAATGTTTGTGATGTGATACTGTTGAGGTTACATCCGGTGAGAATTTCAATGTTAAATATCCAACATAGGCATATTTGGCTCCTTCGACAAACATCACCGTGGAGCCGGCTTCACGTTCCAGCACAACAGCCTCGGCAACATTGCCAGGCGCAGCACCAATTAATGCCACATCTGAATCAATGAAAAGATATTCTCCCTTATAATGGCCCGCATGTAAAAATATCAAGGGGCCCGGATGGTCCAAGGGTGGAACATTATCTTCATACATGTTGGCTAGGGCATTAACACTTGCACCCCCGGCAGTGGGATTAGAGAGTCCGGCATTTATGGCTGCAGCCGATGTTGATGCTCCTGCCGAAACGGCTGCCCGTTCTTCCGGATAATCAAGGGCAGCTTGTATGGTATCAAAAAAGACTATACTTCGCCCCGGATACTTTTTATTTTGATAGCCCGGCCGAACATGTACACCACGATACAGTTGACGAAAACTTTCCTTCCATGCATTGGCATACTCTGACTCTTCGGGCTTCTCAAAAACAAATTTACACACCTCGGGATTGAAAAGTGGCAGGTCGTATTCGAAAACCGATTGATACAGACGTTTCCAAAGTTCGGTATCATTTGCAATGGTATTGAAACGCTTGCATACCTGAGCCAAACGACAAAGATCTTGTTCGAGTAAATATGAAAAGATTACCAACAACACTTCATCGGGTAATTCATACTGCAAATACTGAGCGGCTGTCGGACCAAGATAATTTGTTCCCCCGCCACCGCTCATATTGGGTGGAGACATCAACGCTGTATCCATGTTGACAGTATACAAGCGTCGTGATCTTTTCCGGGCTGGTAACATGAAACTATTGGCATCTGAACCACCGATGGGCAGGGCACTACAATGCTGTTGTGGTATGGAACTGTGTACAGTTGGCGGGTGTGTTAATGGAGCACCAGTGGGTGCATTATTCACCGGGAACGATGCATTTGTTGAGGGTGCATGTATAACAGCGGTTGACTGATTGGAAGTGTTCACTGAATTACCATTGTTAAGAATATTTGAGACAGCAGATGATGAGGATGATGATGACGACGATGAGGAGGAGGGGCCCACAATGACACCAGTCACCATCATCGATGGATTATGATTGTTGTGTTGCGTCGTTGTGTGCGAGCATGATGGTGTGGGGGAAGTATTGTTGTTGGTATTGCCGTTGGAACTGCAGCCTGCAGATTGCTGTAATACTGATGTGGAAGGCCATTGGTCATGGCTATTACTACTTGTGGGAAGTTTACTGCGTAAATCGTAGGGTGACTGATGAACGCATGAATTCGAGGAAGAAGGTGCTGCTGATGAAGTTGTCGATCCTGCGGATGAGGTGGTGGATGCTGCAATGCCTGATAAAAATCCTAAAAGTAAAAAAGTGACAAAATAAAAATAATTAGAAAACGACTAGGAAATAATGTAATTATAAAAACAAATAATTGTATTCTTGAGTTTTTAATGTCCGTAGATATGGTATTCTTTAGAAAGCCCTTAAAGGTGTTTCTATAGAAAAAAAAAATCCTTCAATGGTTTACAAATACCTTCTTAAGATAGAAAACTATCTAAAAATTATATTAAAAACCTGTGATAATAAAAATATATACTAACCACCGCCACTGTTTGATGTGCCTGCATCGGGATCATTGATGTGCATACCAACATATTCGAATGACATTTGTCCTGTTGAAGCGCTGCTGTTTACGCCGCTATTTGAATTTGAATTAACTCCCACAATTTGATTTAAACCCATATTTGTTGACGATGACGACGAAGATGGACAAGAATTTAATACCTGTACTTTAGAACATGAGGGTCCAGAACCGTCGTACATATCACCTAGAGCATAAGTTGTGGTTAACAAGATGTTGCTTGAATATACTTAATTTACATACCTGCTGAATTCGATGTGCTTGCTGGGGTGGGTTGACATGAACCTGATGCCGACGACGATGTTGCCGCCGAAGAAGAGTTAATAGCTACCGAGTGATTTTGTATGATTTGTGATGATGAATTTTGTAATATCGGATCCATAATATTGCCTTAAAATATAGAAATTGTAAGAATGTTTCAAAATATAGATAATTTGTTCAAAAAATGTTCTGACCTAAAGACATACCCTTTATGACCCTAACTCTGACTCTCAGTTTATTATGATACAGCTATATTTGGTGATACAACAAATAATTTTACTATCTACTTCACTTCTTTTTATTGTTTTCAGCTCTTCAGAACCCCATTTGAAACTCGAATTATAGGTATAATTTGCAAATCGAATTTTTCTAGGAAATGCTTTTCGATTTACAAAAATGTGGATTTGTAAAAAATTATTAAAAATAGGATTGGATGATGAAATTAAGTAATTTGAACGGCATATAGAATTTAACGAAATACAAATGATATTTTTGAATTACGATTGAAATGTTTCGACCTATGTTATTCGACCTAGAACTGATACAAATTTAAATTATAAAAAAGGTTAATATAAATTTGCCATGTTGGGGAGTGAGTTTCCCTTATACAAAAACAAATCAAATGCCTAGAAGGAATTAAAAAAACATGTTGGGTCCCCTTCAAAACCTTACAGCCAAATCCTATTGTGAAATCCCAGATGAAATTGAAGATAATGTTCCACTTCCCTAGATGGTCCCTCAAACCCTATTTCATCAACATACTTAGCCAAAATATTTAAAAAAAATGAAAATTAAACCTTTATGGTGGTAAAAAAATAAAATAATAACAATACTTACCAACCGGACGATTAGGCAAAGCTATGCGATTGGCACCCTTTCGTTTGGAACGCCGCACATAGGAGCGCGACGATGTAAATGATGCACTAGGCATTTTCCCAACTTATATTGTTGTCTTATAATAAAACAACTTATAATAAACAAAAGTTGTTGTCTATCCTCTGGGTCCGTAATGCACCTTCAATTATTTGTATGGTTTTCGGCTATTCTTGACAATTTTTACCATGTACACACAACAAATGTAACCATTCGAGATATTCAACCCTTCACACAGACGGCACAACAGCAGCAGCAATACACCACACACCACTACAAACAATTGCACTGCTGAGTGGCACTGCTTATATGTGAGAGGTCTGGGATTTTTTATTCGTTCATTTTTATCCTATGGACTTTTGATACAGGCTTTTGAACACCATGACCCAGAGGGAATTCTGCAACAATAAATATTTTGTAAATCACAACTCGTCGTGTGTCCCTTTCAACGAAAAGGGGTTTGGAACAATTTGTTATATGCACTTCTTTCTTTTAGTAAAATCCGAAATATAACATTCCCAGCTGCACAGGCACGGGATAACAAAAGGAACGGTAGTACGCCATTTTCATTTTACAGAGATGCCAGCTCTTGTGAAATATACAACAACAATTGATGGATTTAAATTGTGTGAATATTTTGATTATTTCTTAAAATATATTTTTTCATTAATAAACAATGAATTCGATTTAGTAAAATATTTAATCGTTTTGGGGGCTATAATAGTTTAACATAATTTTTGTCACTAAACAAAAATATTATTGGCAACTCTGTATACCGCCTTCCTTTATCCTAGTTCTTTTCCTGCTACCTTGATAGAGTTGCCATATCCAAAATATCAACTCGAATAAAACAATACGACTACTTTGACCCCATAACACAAAGGAGGAATATTTGTTGTATTTCTTTATTAAAAACTTTTGTATGTTTATTTTAAAATTCTTTTGTTTTGTCAAAGTAGCAAGCAAACTAAATTATAACTACAATTTTACACACACACACGGCGACGATTCAGTTTGCATAAACAATTGATCGCACTAGTTTATGTTTAAGCATTGTACATAAAAATATAATGATGATGACTGAACCATGTCTTGTCTTTTTACTGTCTGTCTACTTTTTCCACAACTCGTTTTTTTCTCACGGATAATTTTTCGTAGTATCGATTTTATTTCATTCGTTTAATTGATTTTTAACAACTGTTATCGACATATTGTTACTATTCGAGTACTTTTGTTGAATATTGTTACAAAAATTTTGTATATTTTAATATGTATATCCCGATATTTTATTTTAATTATATTTTTACACACACAAAACTACTCGATATAATTCTTGTCCTCCTCTTCTTCTTCGTCTTCTTGTTCTTCTTTGAAGTAACTAAAAATGTAGAGGTGAATGATAACACCTGACACACGTTAGAGAATGACGTAATGTAAATGCACTTATTTTCACTAATGACGTGTTTCAATAAAATTATTATTTTTATATCCAAATTATCCACATACAACGGGTCCATATCTCCATGATTTATTTTCTTTCAAGTTTGAATTTTTAAAATAAAACAATATATACTCTGTTATAGTGGAAAAAATTATATTTCTATTCACTGAAACATTAGTATTTATATTTTGGCAGTCATTTTATTGCTTCATCGATGCCAAATAATAGTATCCTTTAGATTTTTCAGCTAATAGCGTGCCACTTAATTTAATTTGACGTATATGCAATAAAAGAGACGGTTGAAATCCATTCGATTTATCATTGTTCTGAAATATCCGAGTTAAAAAAAATCGGTTATCATATTAAACAAACAAGATCTTTGAAGGGTTTCGAACAGAGCATATATGTGTGCAGCGTTTAAGGTCATTTTGGAATTTTGGTACTTGCTACTCACTTACACTAGTTAACATAATTTTTCTTCTAATAAAAAACTGTAAAAATTGAAAACGAGAGATATTTGAATTTAGTGTTTCTATTTGTGTATTTTAGTCCCACGCATGGTACAATGAAGAGAAGGTAGGTCAACTTTGAAAAAATTGCAAGTATAGAGGTCTACCTGTTTGGCTTGTAATGTCAAAATTAGTATCAAAACAATAAAAAATCAAACAACTTGTTGCATTTATTTTGAATAAATAATTGAAAACCGCGATAACTGAATGAAAGGTCACCACTTCTTTTCAAAATCATGTACTATATATCTCAAAAGGATTATTTCGCTACAAAAACTCTAGATTTTGTCGATGCATACGTTGAAATAAGCATTTTGAAAACATCCGAATTTGAGTATTTTCTGAACAATTTTTTTGTTATTGAAAAGAAAACACATACATAAACAAATAAAGATGACATATTAAGCCAAGAAAATAAAAAAATTAAAATCATATGGTATCATAGCCCTACCTTGATATCATTGTACCATGGTCCCACGTATAACAGGGCTACCATGGTAGAAGAATATAGGTAGACGCGTCGACACAGCTGCTGGGACAATGAACTGTCAACCCAATTTTGGAATTAAAAATGTTGAATGAAAAATTATTTAAATTTGTAAAAATTGTTGAAAAACGCGAGTTGTAATAGCCTCCGAATGACGTAGTATAGGAAAACATATAAAAATCTACTTATATTTGAAAAAAACATTTAAATTTTTTTGACATATCAATGCTCCCAAGCGTTGATGCATCTACCTGTATTCTTCTGCCATGAGGGCTACCTAAAATTCGAAGTTAAATACAAACATTTCGGTTTCCCCACTATGGTAAATTACTTGTACGGACGTATTATTTCATGCATTTGTCATTAGCGAACTATAAAACTACCATATAAATTAAAACATTTTTATTTCAATTTTTCTGTTAATACACAAAAAATGAGTTATTTCAAAGTTTGTTATTTGAAGTTTGTATTTTTGGACGCTCAACGTATTTCGTTACCATTTATATAAATACATGTGTTTTACCTATGTTTTTCACCGCATACGTAAAACACATGATCGAATTTTAGCTAACGCTGAGATGCATATACGACATCCGTTATACTCAATATATCGCCATACCACTTTATATTTGAGACAAGCGTGGCCATAGTTTTCATGAAATAGACTGCTAAATGGTGACATTTTACCAACTTTTAGATTTTTTTCCTGACTTTGACAAAATTTTTGTTAAATTTAAGTGATATTATTCATAATATTAATATTTTATTTAATTAAAAATATAATCCACAAATACTTTCGAATAAAATGTCCATATTTGCCATTTCTCTGTGTGGGGAAAAACTTTGAAACATCTGGCATCTCTGTTGCAGTAACTAGTATTGCGAATTGCATAGAACAGCTATTTTACCGTTCATTTACAACTACGATTAAAAAAATTGCAATTGTAGCTGCAACTTGGAAAACTCAAATTGATGACAACGTGAATATTCCTCGGTATTCTTTAAAATTACTATGTCTGATTGGGAAGATGATTGCGACCAACGTGCTGCTAGTACAAAGCAAAGAATTACATGGAGAAGCGAAAAAGACGATGACTATGGTCGCAAACAATCTTCTTCGTCATCTTCATCGAGAAAATTTCAGGATACAATTGATATGCCGCAGAGTTCTGTTGGTCGTATAATTGGACGAGGTGGATCAAATATACAGAAACTAGAATCTGATTTTAGTGTGAGAGTTGAGTTGGATAAAAATCGTGGAACTGTGACTGTTTCCGGCAACAGTGAGAGAGATGTAAAAGATGCCATTAGAGAAATTAAGAACAAAATGAGTGATGCGGATGGCCGAGATCGAGAACGTGGTCGAGATCGTGATGGTTACTCTTCGAGGAAAAACAGTGACTATGACAGTTCCCGAAGAAATAGTGACTATGACAGTTCCAGGAGAAACAATGACTATGACAGTTCCAGGAGAAACAATGACTTCTACAGTTCATCTTCTTCAAGTCGTTATGGAGGAAGTGGTGGTGGTGGTGGCGGAGGAAGTAGTTCCAGTAGATATCAAAGCAGTTCTTATGATAACAATAGTTATGGTAAAGATTCATCGACCGCTGTTAAGGATGACACCTATGACAGTGATTCGGGCGCAAACAATGGTACCGTAATCGATTGGGATAAACTGAATAAAAGAGCCGAAGTGGAACGCAAAAAACGTTGGGCAAAATGTCCTCCATTGCGCAAAGATTTCTATAAAGAACACCCAGATGTGGCTAATATGAATGCCGAAGATGTGGCACGCATTCGTTTGAAGAACAATAATACGACGGTGAGTCGTGTCTTTGCCAAGGACGGCAACGATGACATTCCAAACCCGGTTACAAAATTTGAACATTGTTTTGGTCCATATCCCGATTTGATGGCAGAAATACAAAAACAAGACTTCAAAAAACCATCCCCAATTCAGGCGCAGGCATGGCCGATACTACTGAAGGGAGAAGATTTGATTGGTATTGCCCAGACGGGTACTGGTAAAACGTTAGCCTTTTTACTGCCAGCTATGATTCACACCGAATACCAAAGTATACCACGTTCCCAGAGGGGTGGTCCCAATGTATTGGTAATGGCACCCACTCGAGAATTGGCTTTGCAGATAGAAAAAGAAGTCAATAAGTATTCCTTTCGTAATATGAAGGCGTAAGTTTTGGAATTGGCATTGGAAAATATGTACTAATTTATTTGATTTTGAAAAAATAGTGTTTGTATTTATGGCGGTGGCAGTAGACGTGATCAAATTGGAAATGTTGAAAGTGGAGCGGAAATTATTATTTGTACCCCAGGACGTTTGAATGATCTCATACAAGCCAATGTTATCGATATTGCGACAATTACTTATTTAGTTTTGGATGAGGGTAAGTTTAGTCCAAATGATTTATTCCCAAAACTTATTCGTGTGTATTTTTTTTGTTCTAATTCTAGCTGATCGTATGTTAGACATGGGTTTTGAACCTCAAATAAGAAAAATATTACTCGACATACGTCCGGATCGTCAAACCGTTATGACCAGTGCCACCTGGCCACCAGGTGTGCGACGTTTAGCCGAAAGCTATATGAGCAATCCAATACAAGTATGTGTTGGATCTTTGGATCTAGCTGCCACCCATACAGTTAAGCAATTGATTGAAATTGTTGAGGAGGATGAGAAATTTTATATGGTTAGATAGCTTTGTAATGAGACTTATTTCAAAACTGATTCCAATTTTATGTTGTTGTTACAGGTAAAAAGTTTCGTTAAAAAAATGTCTTATGATGAAAAAGTTATCATATTTTGTGGCAAAAAAGTACGAGCAGATGATTTATCAAGTGACCTAACACTTGATGGTTTTCGCTGTCAATGTATCCATGGATCTCGTGACCAGGTGAGGATTTATTTTATCAATCATATTGATTTTTGAAACTTCCATAAGAAAGACACTGTTTTCAAGTCTAAAATATGTTTATGTTACTTTGATTAAATGCAGTCTCTAACCTCTATTATTTTTGATACATTCTAGTCTGATCGTGAACAAGCCATTGCGGATATTACCTCTGGGGAGGTAAACATACTCATAGCCACTGATATTGCGTCACGTGGTTTAGATATAGAGGATATAACGTAAGAGTATTACAAGGCAAATATTAACTAACTTTATAATACACAATATTTTTTCTAGACACGTCATTAATTTTGATTTCCCACGCAACATTGAAGAATATGTACATCGTGTTGGTCGAACAGGGCGCGCTGGACGCACTGGTACATCTATAAGCTATATAACACGTTCGGATTGGGCAATGGCACCCGAACTGATCGCCATTCTTGAAGAGGCTGGTCAAAAGGTACCAAGTGAGCTTCGTACAATGGCTGAACGTTTTGCCAAAGCCAAGGAACGTCGAGCTGATGAAAATCGAACATACAATCGTATGAGAGGTGGCCGAGACAATTATGGCAATCGTGGAGGTGGTCGCCGTGATCGCTTTTAATATGTACATATTATGTGTATATGTATTTTTTGTTAATATAGACTTATATTTTCATTTATTTTTCATATGACTACATGAATTAAAGTTATTCTCATGTCCATTTTTTCATTTTCCTGAATTCGAATTTAACTTGAAATAAAAAAGTAACCTAATTTTTTATAAATTGCATTTTTTATAAATATGTATGTAACTACCAATGAAGATGCGCGACTTACTCTGAAAGGTTCGTAAAAAGAGTTTTAGGTACGCGGAAAATATAGGTTTTTTAAAAATTCAAAATTTCACTACACAAATAAAATATTCAAATATATGTGTAAAGATTTAAGAAATTTATTTGAGAATTCATATTCTGAGTTGCTTGAGAAAGGTGCAAATTTACAAGGTACTTGTTAAAACTAAAAAAAACGAAAAGTAAAAAATCCATCTAATCGAACAGGCGGGGGTGGCTATATGGCCTTCTTTTGTTCTGAAATTGTAGCCCTAAAAGTGGGCATCAAAACTATGTGAAATCTTATTGGAAATAATCAAAATCATTTTACAAAATATTTTGTTATATGTATTTTAGATATAAATTGAAATCACTTACTTTAAACAAATGAAATCTTAACGCAAAAACTTAACAATCTATAGCCGTCAAATCCAGATCATCTTCCCAAGCAATATCCGTTGATTTCGCTGCTGGTTTTTGAGTACTACTTTCAAACGTTTTCTGTGTATCATCGGCAATATTCCATAGCTCGTCATCATCGTCAGCATTCATATACACTGAATAATCCTGGGTGGATTGACTTCCGCTCACATTGCCCTTCGTGCTTTTACGCGGTGGCCCAGCATGAGATTTCTTCTCAACACGATTACCCATAAGTTCTTGACTTTGTAGGTAATAATGATTCGGATGATTAATGGCAACTTCCACATTCGTATCATGGGTAACTTGAAAATATTTAGCACATGCCAATTGATAATGATGCTTGGCTGCCAAACCGGCCACATCTTGAATATGCGCCGTTCCCAAACCGGCTGCTGCAAGTTTTTGTTTCAGCGTCGACTGATCATAATACTTGAAAGGACAACCATTAACACTACCCTGAACAACATTTTCCTGAATAACTTTGGCACACGAGTAGGGAGCATAGTCTTTTAAAGAGCCCTTTTTGCCATAGTTGTGCTCAATATTGTACTGATAGCTTTTAGCGAATTTTTCGGGATCCATTTTTTTCGTTAGCTCTTCACGCCAAAATCGTATGGCATCTTCCAGTGTGACACCAATACCTTTAAGAAACAGACCATATTGCATGCGGCCATCATATTTCAAATGATGATTAGTACGCAAATGTTCATGACATAAGCGCATACACAGAGGGAATGATTTTTTCGACAATTGATCAATGGATTCTATGGGTACTTTAACATCTTTTCCAACGGTGTAGTCTTTGCCAGTGTAAGAGGTATGCAAAGATTTAAGTAAGGTAAACAATCGTTCGTCTGTCTCAACTTCACGTATCAAACGCTGAGCTGATTTAAGACCATGCTCAATTTCCTCTAGCTGTTTAGTGCCCACAATTGAAATAAAATCATGAGTATTCACATATGCCTGGCCATCCTTTAAATAACAACGTCGTGATCGAACTAAATCTAAAACCTGTGTAAATGGAACTTTATAAAAATCCAGCATTTCGATTTTTGCCACACTCTGTCCCACAGTACTTTCTATGAGGCCATCTTTAACGGCATTCTTTTGTTCGGCAGAAAGTGGAACATAATTCAAATTGTGCAGATCCAAAAACTGTTTTATTTCAGCCGGAGTCATGGCAGAAAATTTATATTTGAACAACTCCATTTCGCGGGCTATAAACCAACTGAAATTTTGAAAAAAAAAAAAAAAAATAAATAATAATAATAAGACACAACATGATATCATCTTTTAAATCACCCTACCTTTTTAGCTCCTGTGTCCGACAATAGGCCAGTCGCAATATAAAATGTGAAATATAGTCCCGTCGGCGTGCCTGCAACTCAAATTCATGTTTGCTGGCATTGTTTGCGGCGGTATTGCCACCGTTCGTACATAGACGCAAATAACCCTTTAGTCCTTCACGTGATAACTCGTCATGAACATATTCCTTCCAGTCATCCGATAGAAAACGTAAACTCTTGGCCTGAGCCTGTTCTAAAATTCTCAACACCTTTAATCGTTCCAAAGCCAAATCTTCGAATTCGTGTATTTTTATATCTTCTGTGGGTGGCATACGGTATAATAGCACATTGTGTTTATATTTTTGTTCCAGATTTTCATATTCCGGTTTACGTTCGACACGAGCCTTCGATTTTCTTCGAAAATCCATGTTGTTTGCAAATTCTTTTTTTCAATTGCTCAAGAATTGTTTACATGTAATTTGGCGGGAATAGGGCTATGTAGTTTGACTTTTGACTAACTAAATAGTGAGAAGCGAGCGATTGTATTAGTACTGTATTTCTATAGGCTATTGGCCACACGTGAATTTTCTGTGTTTACTCTCTATTGTTGGGTTCAGACAAAGGTTGTCTCCTTTGTCAACATCATGATCCAAGTATAAGGTCCCCCTTCCAGCTCAGCTGATTACCAGACCTGTCAATTAAATTTGAATTTGCTGCAACAAAAACAAACTTCAAAACGATGGTAGAAGAATACAGGTAGTCGCATTGCATAGCTGCTGGGGCAATGAACTGTCAAACCAATTTTAAGTTAAAAATTTAAAATGAAAAATTATTCAAAAAATTATTGCAATGCTTGGGAACATTAATATGTCAAAATTGTTAAAATGTTTTGTCAAAAATAAGAAGATTTTTATACGTTTTCTAATACGAAAAAAAAATACAAATATCAACAGTTTTTCGTTTAACATTTTTAATTTCAAATTCGGTTTGACGGTTCATTGTCCCAGCAGTTGCGTCGATGCCTCTACCTGTATTTTTGTACCATGTGTTATACATACAAAAAATGACAACAAACATATTCGCCACAAAATTCTTCTGTCAAGGCGAAAAAATTTATTTTCGCCTCAAGCATGAATTTTGACATTCATCTGGTAAAATAACAGCTGTTTTTAGATTAATTCGCTCGAATTGCCATGTTCTACCATGGCATTTATGTTGTAACTGAATTTGAAATAAATTCAAATTATTAATTTTTTATTCGGAACAATATTCAAACATATACAAATATGTTTCGACAGAATAGGGACACCAAAAGAATTAAACTGTATTTACAAGGTTGCTTTGTTCTACCTTTCGTAACTGTGCCATGCTCACACCTTAAATATTGAATGTTAAGAGTTAAATACGAGTTGTTTCTACAAAAATTGATTTTTTTATAAATGTAACATTAGCATACAGAAATTTACATGGTCTAAATTTTTTCGATATAGAATGCAAGAATTTGGCCTCAGGATGTAGTAGCCGTCTGGACTCGATCCATTTAGGTCACCTCCTTGCGGACGGACACAGCCGTGCGAGTTTCCCCCTTCTATGTCGTAGAGAACATATTATCAGCCATGCAAAAAACAATTGAAACAAAACACCAATGGTTCTTGTTTTTGTTGTATTAATATTATAGTTTTTTTTAATTTGTTTTCGGATTCTTTTCCAAGTTCTTGTTTTAAAATACATACATATGTAACATAGGTTCTCTTTTGTATATTCATGTATATAATATGTACGCCTTATTGTGTATTTATATAGAATGATGACTTAAGGACTACGTGTGTTTTTTGTTTTTTTTTACAAATTTGTTTAAAAATTCTAAACCCCACACTTTAAACACCATTTCAGGTGGTTAGAGCCAATCGACAGTTAAAAAAAGATTTGAATTTTTTTTCGTAAAATCTGTTAGCTACACAGGAAATTTAGTCGGAAATTTAAACATTTAAGTTTAAACAGGATAACTGGCTAATAAATATGTATGTATATTTGTTATGTATATAATATGTAAATTGTTTTACAAATATCGCTGCTCATGAATATATAAATATATATGTATGTTATTGTTATTTGTTTTCAGGTAGTATATAAATATATAACGATATATGCACAAGTATTTCACATTTTTTATTTACATCAATAACAATGCGTAGTTGAGTGGTGGTGTATCTGTATACATCAAATGTATTTCCCAAAGAACCAAAGTTAATAGGATTTCAAATCATAGACATTAAAGTATTTAAAGTTGGGTTTTATTTGGTTTTGAAATTGTGAAGATTGATTTGAAAAACTAATGTGGAATACTATTTGTTTATACTCCCGTTCTATAAAGTAGCATAAGGAAAATTATACAAATCATTTGAACAAAGAAGGTATGTGGTGGATTTTTTGGGTGTTTTTCTGTGGGGTGTTGCTTTCTAAGTATATATTTTTCTTGTTTTATTTAATATAAATTAGTTATGTAACTATAAACTAAAAGTTCTAGAAATAAATAAACAACAATATCCTCCGATTTGTTTTAGAGTTGCTTGGTCAAAGATTTAGGGTTAAAATCTAGCGAGTTTCTATATAAAGAAAATTGGATTTTTCCAATTTAGAGTGTAAAGGTTGCTGGCTATCTTTTTTCCATTTTGTTTGCTGCGGGTGATGTGTTTCAATGAATTTCTCAAATAAGTTTTTGTACACGTAAGCTAAAATTTGTTTAAAACTTAAAACAGTTTTTTTTCCATAAAAGTGACTCTTTGCACTCAATCCAATACACAATGGATACATATTGACGTCGTCCAAGGAACAACAACCCTCCATAGTGCTGTTACTTTTCGATGAAAGGGACTGCTGGCGGTTTTCTCATATTTTGGATAACTGGGAATAAAGCTAAAGATTGCTGCCTCTTGTCGTGTAGTTTTTTTGAAAGACTTTCCTCATATTTCAAATACTCAGGCTGATAAAACTTTTACCCATAGCATGGTTACTGCTTTGATACATCTGTGTGGTTTTGTTTCCTCGCTTATCACAAACAATGTTGTGTGGTGGTGTCTCTGTGGCTATGTTTATCTTTTTGTAAATTGTATCCCATGCTTTGAACTTAGCAAATGTAAAGTTATTTTGTGCAAATTACTTTCAATAAAAACAGGAACTGCTTCATTAGTGAAGTTTCAATCAGCGCGACTGCTGCTACTATTACTGTTGTTGTTACTAAAGCCCATGGTCATTTCACATGAAGGTGTCGCTGGTGCATCTTTACATATGGGGCTTATTCCAGCACTGTGTATTGTCATGCAGGATAAGGACTTGGGTATGGGAGCATAGGTTGACTGTAAGTTAAGCCTTAGTTTTGCAGGTGAGTTGCGTTTAAAACGTGAAGGGCGGGTGGCGCTTAAATGATTTGTAGACACTGCGGCTGGCGGGGAAGTGCATAATGATAATGCCGATGTTGATGTCGACGACAAAGTCAATGTAGATGATGCTGTTGCCAAGGCAGCGGCTGATGTTGAGGTGCCAAGTGTTTCATCTTCGGGTGTTATGGGCGGTGAGGTAAGCCTTGATGAACAATTACTGCTGCCACCACTGCTATGACCGCTATCACACTCATCCAAATCCATTGTTTGAATGTCATCATCGCATTTTGTTGGTGTCACAATTGTCGTTGGAGTTGTTGGTTGTTTGTCGTCGCCATTTTGACTAGATGTTGGTGTGGCTGGTAAGGGTGCGGGCGATATGGGTTCCAATACACCACTCAACCTTAAACTTTGCTCCAGTTCCAATAATTGTCCCATGAAATTTAAATTGGGCGATATAATAGGCCGGACCCCTTTCACCAATTTATAGGCCTCCAACAGTGAAAGGGATTTATAACGCATAACATAGGCAATGGCAATTGTGGCACTGCGAGATATTCCCGCATGGCAATGTAGTAAAACTTTGGAGCCAGTTTTACGGGCATCTTCTGCAAAGATAAACAAAAAACGACAGATGGTTAGATGCTGCTGAGTATTGCAAATTTAATATTAGAAATATGTCTGTATGTACAAGATAAAGGTCTTTTTTCAACTTATTCCTAGAAAATCCATCCAATTAGAAATAATTGTAGATGGGCCTTTTTCCTACCTTGTGTACTCTTGTTTTTGGGGATATTTATGTTGATAGGTGATTGGGTCTTTTTCCAACCTTGTCTACCCTTATTGCTGGGCTATTGTCAATTACCTACATTTTTGGACATACTAAAATTAAGTAAACTAATTGTGTAATATTTGTAGAATGCTTTGTACATCTAGGAAGCAAGAAATAATGTAAAAATGGAATATATAATACGAAGTACACTGTGCGAGGTTAATTTTCATGACACTGCCAGACAAAGGATGGGAAATATAAAAACGTATTTCTAACGTGCCAATACATATTCCAAAAAAAATGTTTTCCCCAAAACATGGCCTATTTAAAAAAAAGCTACAACTAGACGGCTAAAGGCTAATAACATTGTAAATGACAAATAAAATGATTCATCCTATACTATTATCACCACCATCACCCACCAATTAACTTCCTTGTTGGCTGTTGTTTTTTTTTTCTTCACCCCCGCCCACATCTATCCAGCCTTTTTCTAAAATATACATATATTTCAAATTCATTTGTCATTATTAATATTATAAGTCATAGCTCAAGGAGAAGGAGGAAGAATATGCCGACTTCAGTAGGTATCCACAAGTTGAAGGTCGTTAATATAGAAGTAAAGCAACAAAAATATATATATTTTTGCACACACATAAATATTATTATTTTTTGTCTTGTTTACAGGCATTTTTTTGTCTTTGAATGCCGTTGCTGCTGCTATTTTTACGTCAAAACAGTCCGAAATGAAACAGGCGCAATTTATTGTATTTCATTTTGGTTGTACGACAACAGCGTCGGGTCGTTCGTTGTTGTTAATGTTGTGTGCCAAGCTGCTAGCCAGTCAACCAGCCAGCCCGCCAGGCTAAATGTTTTGTATGAGTCATCAATACATTCATATGGCAATTTCTTGTCTCATCATCATCACCATCCTGTGACCAAGTCAGGGGCTATTTATAAAAATAAGTGTTTGGGTATAATGGCTTTTTCGTCACAAAGACACCACGGCCAATGGATACCGCCACCACCAAAAACATTTTTATCTCATATTTATATTTGTATATGTATCTGTGTGTATCTGGCACCTGCTTCATCATTCTTCATAGTTTGGTTTGCTTTTGGTTTCAGCAGATTCTTTTTGTTTTTTTTTTGTATTTCTCTAGACCCCTTTATACAAAACAAACATAAAAGAAACCTTAACATATTGTGATCATCATCACCATGCCAGCCAGTCTTCGTCATCACAAAACAAACTGTTTGTTGTCCATTCGTCTGTCACAGACAGTTGTCTGTAATGTGTAATGATTCATAGCATGAGAAGTATTAAGAAGCGAAGCCAGAAGAGGAAGAAGATCAGAAAAAGTCCATTCACGATTTCACTTTAGATCTTTCATAAACTTCATTTCGTGATTTTGGGACATATGTTTTGAGGGCATTTATTTTCTAAAACTATTTGAGTGAGTTTTTTTGGCATAGTCGTCAAAAACTTGTCAGTGTAGTGGTGGCGGCAATGACGAGTGACTCTTCTATAGGACACACGACAATACCCTGTTTTGTGTTGTTGTGGCCTTTATATGGTGAATTGTGAACTGATAAGATTACTGACAAATTGAATTGAAAATGACAACATCCATTCTTATCACACAATACAACTGCTACATATTTTTGGTTTGTTTTTATTTTTTCTACCTACTCTAAGTTAAAATATATATATTCTAACAATTAGACTACACCACAACCACTTATACCACATACATATATCAATGATAAAGAGGGCAAGACATGACTTTTAGGAAAAATAATCTTAAAATTTATATGAAAATCAATTACATAAGATCATTTGTGGCAAGAATTGTACAGTTGTAAACATTTTTCGAGTAACATTTCGATGTTTGAAATATCTAATGACTAGAAAACAAATATATTTCCATACACTTTATTTATTTATGTATTTTAATTTGTACAGTAACCTAACCCACAGGGTCATGGACGGTTCCAAAAACTTCTATAATTGAATACCCTACTTTCAAATTTAACCCTTATTGTTTTTATTTTAAACACCATCAGATTAAAAGTTCGTTTAGATTTGTGAAATCTATTCGATCTGAAATGTCAATCCCATAAAGTATACGTCAAATAATATCCACTGGATTTGTGAATACGATTTACGTGACGTATACGTTATAGACTTGACAGTTGAAATCAGGTAGATTTAGTAGTCTAAACGTGCTCTAATTGCTTAAAATTAATTCGATTGTTATTCTCACTGCCCACACCATCACCATGGCCGGCGCTTGAGCTCTGGTGGCCAACCGAAGGTGAACATTTTCAGCTGACCTCTTTGACAAGTAAACACGATCATTTTGTTTGTTTACAAACTGCTGGACAATGAATGTTTCTCATCGGAGAAAACCAAATTCGGCAGTTCACTACTTTCGGCCAAGCGAAACAACTCTTTAGCTCTTTTGAGTCTATTTTCTTTCCGTTGCGGTATAAGTTCTTGCACTTTTTGGAATTTCAATGGGTTTACCCCAAGCTCGTTTTTCAATATTTGCCGAATGGAATATTGTGATATGTTCTGGTCACGAGCCATTTTATAATGAGCTGTCACTGGAATACTTTTAACAGCTGTCGGACGAGTGGCTTAGAAATGACAGCAGTCTGAAGTTGGTTGCGTTTTTTCATCTCACTCTGTATGTCGGTTTAACTTTCTTTTATTTACATAGTTGACGCATAAGTCCTCTAGATTAACTAAATACAATACAATCTAGACGCACTGTTAAAATGTGTTATAAAAAATGTAAGACCACAAAACCTTACAAAAGACTTGTAATTTTTCAAAATCCAACTTCTCACTAGAAATCACCTTAAAATTGGGTTAAAAATTTACAATTTTCTTCAGCCTAAATCTGTGTTTATATTATGATATTCTATTCCAGTGTAAGAACAACATTTTCCCTCATCGATATTCTTACCCAGGAAGAGGGTGGGAAAGTAGTTTTTAATTCAGATGACTATTATTCATAAAAAAACTTTTGTTTTTGAAATAAAATCGTTGTTGTCAAGTAATAAAATTATTATTAACACACATTAATTTTCCATCTATCCATAACAATCTGTAGACATAGTATACGTCTCGTTTGACACCTCGAATATAATGATAACATGTTTAGATTACTTTATCAAAGAAAAAATAAATTCATTACAAAACACTCATTAATGAAGGCCACATTTCTATTAATAGCCACCAATTACAATTTGTAATTACAAGTTTCCATGTCTGCATTCGTATGTCTGCTGAGAAAAACTAAACTATATTGAGTTCCCTCCCTATCTACCAACAATTGTAGTTTTCCATCTCTGCATTAAGATCTATCGTTTCTCACCTATTAAAGGGAAAGAGAGCGAAAATGGCATGGGTGAAAAAATATGCCATCATATCGTATAAAATCATGCCATCTTACCCCCACCCACTAAAATTCTAATCAAATTTGCTCTGTTAACGTCATTTTTAGCCAACCAAAATGAATTGCGCTCTTTCTGTGAAACAAATGCGAGAGGTGATAAGGAGAATTTTTAAATTACTCAAGTCCGGAGAGATATGTTGGGAGATGGTAAATAGTGTTGCGAAACGAAATTTTATTGAAGGTAAAATAATGTTGTTTATCAACACATACATCTATAGTTTCAATGATCTGTTTTAACGGTATTTTGATAATTCAAACGGTTTTAACTAGACAAATATAAATCCGCAAATTTAAGCCTTTTTCCCACATTTGTCATTTCGATTAGTATGATTTATAACAATTAGTTTTACTTATAATTTACTATTTAAGTACAATTAGTCTAACGAAGAAAATGTTGTACTGGGGGTAAGAAAATAATAGAATAAACATGCGCAGCACTGCGCAATGGACTAATGATGAGGTGTTTAAAAATATTTTTTTTTTTGTACGTACCGATGATATACATACACACAAACACTTATGTATACAATTTTGAAATAAATATACATAGACGATATTTACGTACAAACGTGTGTTGTAGACGTTGATTATTGATAAATATACATTGTTGTATAGGAAAAAATAAGCTCAAATGAAAATAAAAAAGAAATATACTACACAACACACATTCGAATAAAAAAAAAACAGCTAAAATCGAAAATATGATTCATCCATCCAAGCAACCAACCAACCAACCTAACAAGCAACCAATCTATCCATTCAAGCAACCAACCCAACCATCCCATCCATCCATAGTGATGTTGCTTGAATTTTGTGAATGGACGTCGTTTGGTCTGTTAGACGCATAGTCTCGACAGCGGGTGGTTGGGCGTTCAGTCGCTCTGTCTATCTTTTTCTGTTATAGAAATGTCGTTCGCACCAAAATGCCTTAGTTATACACAGACACATGAACACACACTCGCATATAGACATTATCATTCGTTATTATTATGATTATTATGGTTTTATTCTTATTGTTACTCTTGGACTGTGGATGAATGAATGAAGAAAATGGGGTAAAAGTGGGATGGAATGGGGAGTAAGATTTCTTTTAGGGGTTGCGTTCTTGTGAGGGTTTTTTTAATTTGTTTGTATGTGTGTCGTCGTCGTCTGTGTACCTTAAGTGCGTTTGTTGATTGTTTTTGAATATGGGTGTACTTAGATTATTTGTAAGGTTAGAAGAGAAATATATATGAGGTTTTATACTCTATAACGCCGATAAAAAACACTTGAAAGTACAATTTGAAGTACTCTTCAATTTGATATTGTTGTGATTCTAACAGGGTTGCCAGGTTTATTACAATTACTAATCAAAAATGTTTAAAGTTAATTGTTTACTTCGTTTCAAAATGTTTTGTTCCCTTAAGAAAATAAGCCCTAAAAATGTTAAATTAGTAAAACAAGTTGAAAAAACACTTACTTCTTATGAATGGAAGGAATTTAAGCTTTTTGTGAATTCTTATCACACATTTTTCCTGTGACCTTTGATGTTTAATCTTATCTCACTGTCAAAGTAGCCACCACCAGAGCCCTTCACCAAATGTTGGAAAATAATAACAATTGTTATCTTAAGCGAAAAAATGACTCAGCAAACGATTGTAATCGTTTCGATTTAATAGCACTTTGGAAAATCTGAAATGCGTCATAGAATCCTCTAAAATACATTACACCACTCAATAATGTTTTTATGACTTGTATAAATCTATTTTATGACTTGGTGTTATAACCAACTACTACTAAAAGTCATTGAACGAGAATACATTTTGATCATGTGTGTCAATTCTATGAAGGTATATGGGAAACTTTTTCATTATTTAAGACAGAAACTTATTTAAGAATGTTTCGAAGAAAAAAAATGGAAGTTTATTTTAAAAAAAATTAAATGATAAAGGAAGAAAATATCACAAAAAGGTTCCAAATTTCTATCTCTCATCTTTCTCTGTTTATTGAAGTTTCCATCGTGACAGAGAATAAGAGACACACATTTTTTTCAATGTATTTGGCTTTATATCTTTGCCTAGAAAAATAGTAATTGCAAGTTTCCAGCTCAGTATAAGGTACATTATGTATGGAGAGTGAAAAATATAAATGTCCTATTTTTTCTCCACATCATTCTAATCAAATGTAGCAATTTACATTTTCTGCCATTCTCACAGTTGTTTTCTTTCCTCAAAGGCGGGAAATAATAAAGATTGCTAATTTTTACGGATAAGGGACTTGTAGGTCGAGCTTTTGTGATATGGGAGAGTGCTTACTACTTTTACTTTCTTTGCTGTTTCTGTCTCCCTCTCTACCCATTGCTTAAGATTCATGATAAAACTTCGGTTTCTAGAATGAAACTGAATGAAGTTACAAGAAATGTTTCGATAAAACGAAAAATTGTCAAAGAAATTATTGATCATACGGGCAGTCGGGCTAGTGTTGGTCTGATAAATTAATAGGTCACAGTTAGGGAAAGTATGTCGTTTCATAAAGAAATATTATGAGGGCAAAAAGTAATAAATATTTATTTGTTTACAACAATTGTTGTGTTTGCGTTTCACCCTTTTTAATTGTAAAACTAGAATAAGAGCAACATTTTAAGTTCAACGTGAGAGAATAATTTTGCTCAGAGAACCAAACATGAATAAAATACATGCATGATGGCTTGAAAACTGTTTCAAAATTGGATAACTCCGGAATAAACATGGATGACAGTCCTTGACCAAATAGAACACGATTTCTAGTTTTTCAGATGCGATAAAAGATTGTATTTGCAGGTTCAGTAAGACAACTAACATCTAACTAACATTGTTAAAATATATATTAATAAAATCTTTGAAATCAGAGATGGGTATATGTTTTCGATTTTAGTTAAATCTGACATGGTAAATTTGACAGAAAATGCATAGCTGGATATGTTTATTTAAAATGAGGTTACCTTCTTAATTCTGCCATATTTTCTTGTTAACATTTCTAGGTTGCCATCTCCCCCTCTCCCTTTTTTATTAAATAACGATGGTGATACTGGTATATTATCTTTCATTTCTTTGATTATTTATGACTCGACTTGGCAATCCCATTATAAATGGTTGAAATAGCACATTATGAATCAGCATTTTAGGCTTTGTTAGCAACATTTTGGTTAAATGTAATTACGTTGGTATGTGTATGTATGAGTGTAAAACAAATATATTTGTGCCGTGTGCGATAATTTTTGTTTCAGAAAAAAAATCAAACCAAAAATAATATAACACCCAGTATACAGAACAGGGATATGTACATACATTTTCACATTAATATGTACACCCATTACATTAGCATATAAGAAGAACTATGTGTATGTATGTTGTCGTTTTGGCACTCAAATCCGTTGAAATAGGTTGTAAACAAAAGTTTCGTCCAGACATGATTACTCCACATTTTTATTCTTATTTAGTGGTCATGTCTTACCTTCTATTTTGCTCGTAGGAAATTTTGTATTTGTTTTTAAGAATATGACCTATGTGCGGATGTATGTTTGTGCCATATACATTTTTACACGGCGCATTTACATTTTTTCCGCTAGACGAAAATAGGGAAAACGAAAAAATCAATAAATTTGTTTGTGGGGTAAAAATAGGAGGCAGCCAGAAGCAAGTATTGCTGCTCATACTCTGCTGCTGGTCGTTCACACTTATTCACACACAAACACATATGGGAGGCCCACATGTTGCCAACACAATTGTTGTGAACGAGGAGAGGCGCGCAAGTAATTTACCTTGTCTCTAGCATTTAACGAGAAAGAAAATCGCAGGGGGACAGGGATGTAAAACGGCCCGGGACCAAAAAGAAAAAAGGGTGGGTTGTGCAAAACAAATATTCCGAAACAAAAATAATTCTGGAAGCGACGAGAGAGAATCACGGAAGGGAAAATTGTTGTTGTTTCTGCCAACAATAACAAAAGTAGCAGCAGCTACTGGTGATGAGTCATCACCATCACTAGAGCAAACGAACATTTACACAGAACACACAACATCAATAACGTCACAAGGCAGCCTGCCTTGCTACACACACGTACATTCATAAAACACCGGTGGTGCGGGAGGTGGGTACAACGAGGTGGTGCTTCTCCTTTAGAACACGGTGAATGGCTTTCTTCTTCATCATCATCGTCATTATTATCAACATTTGGTTGTATGGCTCATTGGGAACGAGGTCGAAAGTGCACGTGACGTAAGTTTACAAAAAGTTGCATGCAAACTTCCCCCAACCACCACCGCACACACACACTGTGTGTGAGTGTATCAATGATGTCTGGCAAACGGATATTTACACACAACGAACGAACATCATAATCTTCTTGAAAATCTCTATGAACGTGGAGAATAAGAAAAGAACAAAAAAGGAATTGTAATAATGTTCAGTTGGTCTGGTGTGGCCTGGCCGGCTTTAGAAGAAGAGTACATTATGTTGAAAAGGCAAAACTTTACGATAAATGTCTGTGTTGTAAAAGTATTCAAAATGAATGACATATTTTGTTACTGTTTTGTTGTTGTCATTTTATCACAAGGCTGGCTTTTGTTTTGGGGGCAATGGGGGAAACCTAGTAGAGTTTTGTTGTTTTCTCTTTTATGTTTGTTTGTTGTTGCCCCGGCTACCGGAAGGAAGTTTGTGGTATACAAAACAACACACATCGCCACAAAAAAGTTGGTCGTTCGGTCGGTTGTCCGGGAGAGTTATTCGTTGTTTTGAAGGGTTGGTTGGTCGGTTCGCTGTTGCTTGGCTTTGGATTTTTGTCGTCATGCTGTCTACCACATAGACAAAATAAAGAGTGCAACCACACTCATATACTTCACTCCCTGCTGACTTTTTTCATTGTAATAAAATGTGCTGTTTAAGATTTTAATTAGCGAAAAAACTAGCTGTCATCATTTTTTTCGTTATTTCAAGACGTAGTTGGGCTTTTTGTTTTGTTGAAATTTCTTTACTTACCAATAAAATCGTAGGCTTCCTGAAAATATTGTTTAATATTTTGATGAGGTGTATCACTGGCAGGTATTTGCATATATTTAAGGCCCGGCATTGGATTTGTGCTCGGTGCTTGGCAGGTAACATTTAAAACACAATTTGCTCCCACACTACTGGGATCGCCAGCATCACGGCCATTGCCCAGCAATAGATGTGGGAAAACGTGTGAGGCGGGATGTGTTTCGATATCTGAAGAAGCAAATGAAAAAAGATAAATAGAACAAAATTAGAAAACTTTCATTGTAGATTGTTAAAAATATTAAAAAATATCAATGTTATAAGGATCAATTACAAATTCTTGCTAATGATCATAAATATAAGATTCTAAAACATTTTAGATTAAGTAATATAACAACAAATAATTGCTAACATTTTAAAAATACACAATTTAAAACATTTCAAATTTCCAGCTCACATTCATTTGCACTTGTCATGCCTTTTACAGAGAAAGGAGAGATAGCAAATGGTTTATACCGTTCGCGAAAGAGATCATTTAATAGAAAACAAAAACTCTGGAATTGTTACAGAAATAAATAAATAAATAAATAATACCTAAATATACCTATTAACGTTATTTTTCATCTCCCACCATGTATTTTAAGCAAATTTAAAAATTCCAATTCTTCATCTCCGCATGAGAACTGTCATGTCGTTGAGAGTCATATCCGATTTTCTCTTCCTTAAGAAGGAGGGAGTGTAAATGGTTTCATATCTTTGCTTAGAAACATAGTAATTGCAAATTTTGAGCTCTGTATTAGAGTAATTTTGCATGGAAGAAAGTGAAAATCATAAACTGACCATGCATGAGCATGCATAACCAAACAATTCTAATCAAATTTAGTAATGAACATTTTCTCCTATTCTCACACTTACTTTCTCACTTTGAAGGCGGGAAAATATAAGGATTGCCAACATTTTAAAGTTTTTACGTATAAGGGACTTTAAGGTCGACGACGAGCCCACTGTTATTGAAGTTTTTACGGATAAGGGACTTTAAGGTCGACGATGAACCCACTTTAGTTGACGCGTTGGAAGACAACATTAAAGCATTTTTTCGTAAGATACCCGTGAAAAAGTTGGAAAGTGTATACCAAAATTGGACTAAGCGCACCATGGGCCACAGTCGAGTCCTATATTTGTATGAAATAATCTTCAAAAATTAAATTGTATAGACCGTATCAACTCAAACAAAAATGTCAAGCCTTTTTCTGAATTATATTTTTTAAGTTATTATGACTAGGGTACTTCTAGGACGACGACGAGCCTGCATCAATAGACAAATTGGAAGACAACATTGAAGCATTTTCATTTATATCGTCCATATTGCTTGCCTTGAAATATATATATCAACCCTCCCATGGAATTTTATGGGGAGTTCATTCCTTTCACCCACGTATTTTCAAATTTCATTCATAAATAAAAACTTTAATTCATAAAGAAATAATATTTATCCCCTACTCAGCCAGTGCCCATATTCAGGCCACACACTCGCCAAGCTTTGCGAGACAAGATTCCATATAAGGATTATTATTATTGGCCATATGTGTGTGTCTGAATATAATGAATGGAATTGTGCGTGCAAATTTGCCAAGATAACTATTACGTTTTCTTCAAACAAATCAAAAAGGAAGACAAAAGAGGTAAACTTAAAAAATATAAAGCCAGCAAACAAAAAACTACTTCCCCCAAAAAATTATAATAAACTGTCTTCTTCATTCATTCATAAAACTAATATTTATGTGTTAGGCCATTTCCCCATTTTAAGTTATAGCTAGACGCGAAGAATTCTCCTCCAGCTAATACTAGTTTTTTTGTTTTACGTTTTGTGTTATTTTTTGTTTTAATTTCCTACCTTTAAGTCTCTCTCTCTCTATTTGTTTGTCCCGCAATTATTTTAATGACGCTACTAACTACGTATGAAAGTACTGTTACGCGTTAAAGCCCGCCCTATTGTTGTTGTATGTTGTATAGCAGACCAAAATAGAGCTTACGTTTTTGCGGCGTTGTTGACGTTGTATGCCGTTGGTAGTATTTTTTTATTTTATTTTTATTTTCGCATCATAATTAAATATGGCATTGTGTTTATTTTTTGCTTCTTCTTCCCTTCTATCCCACAGTCTACACTACGACGGCATCACAACACTTGGATTCTGAAGTAGTAGTGTAAGTTGTGAGTGAGTGAGTCATGCCACGAAAAGCAAGTCATTAATGTTGGTTTTTTTCATGCCACACTTGGTGTAAACAAAAATATAACGAAGTCAACATAAACAGATGAAGCAATCGACCTTTTCCTTGTCATAGTTTTTTTCAAGTTTTTTTTGTTTTGTTATGACTATTAACACTAATATTTTTTTTCATGAAATATGGAAAAAAAAAACTAATAAAATCTAGATGTGCTACGAGGTTAATCATGGGAAATCTAAAGCGGAATTTCAGATTATGGCCTATGGTTGCAGGATTAGTCATAAGAAGATTCAAATAAGTATTATTAAATAAATATTTTACTATCAAAATGACTCAAGATATTTTTTAATTTTAAAACGAACGTCATTTAAATATTATTATATTAAAGCAGCTCGAAGGATCGGGAAGGATTTTGCATGGCAGCGATAAAACAAAAATGTACAGGGTGATATGAAAGAACTGCAACAAAGTCAAAAGTCCAAAATTTTTACATTTTTTTTTAAATTTTATTGAAAGAAAGCAAAACATGCCTAAATAGCATCAAATTTTAAAAAAAAAGTTTAGATTTGTTCGAATTGGTCACCTTCTGCACGAATTATGGCCTTCAAACGGCCAATGAAACCGTCACACGCTCCCCAATTGTTGCTCTGTGGTATTTTGACCCATTTCCGACAAAACGTTTGCTTGAGGTGATCGACACCTTGGTATTTTCAGTGCCAACCTTGCTTTCCAAAATACTCCAGACACATATGGCGGCCCACACCATCACCATGACTGACGCTTGAGTTCTGGTGGCCAACCGAAGATGCACATTCTCAGCTGACCTCTTTGGAAAGTAAACACGATCATTTTGTTTGTTTACAAACCGCTGGACAAGGAATGTTTTCTCATTGCAGAAAACCAAATTCGAGCAGTTCACCACTTTCAGCCAAGCGAAGCAACTCTTTAGCTCTCTTGAGTCTATTTTCTTGCTGTTGCGGTGAAGGTTCTTGCAGTTCTTTTTGGATTTTCAATGGCTATACCCCGAGCTCATTTTTCAATATTTGCCGAATGAAATATTCCGATATGTTCAGCTCACGGCCATTGCGACGCGGGTTTCGATCAAGTCGCTTCTTTTCTGTTCGAAGCATTTCTGCTGATGTTGCTGTTTTCTTCCGTCCACTTCCTTGACGTCAGGTTGCGCTACCAGTATCACGATAACGAGCGATGGTACGAGACACAAAAGATTTATTCACATTTAAATGCTGGAGTGCTCTAACCATAGCCACTTGTGGTTTCCCAGCCAAATACAAAGAAATCACACTATCACGTTTGAATGCCATCGCGAATAACTTTTTTCGGGAAAATTCTAACCAAAATGCTTTTGTACAATAAAATGAGCTGTCACAGAAATAATCTGTCACGAGTGGCTTAGAAATGACAGCAGTCTGAAGTTGGTTGCAGATTTTTCATCTCACTCTGTAATTAAAAAAAAACTACCCTGCCACGTCAACAATATCCCCCTGACACATTTTAAAGACGAACTTTGTGTTACTACTGTGGCCTGCAATGAGTTTTACATTACTCATTAAATACAAAAAAAAAAAAACAATTAAAAATTTTACTTGAAAAATATACCTACAAACATATGTGTGTAGATATGTACTTTGTCATCATTTTCTTAATATTCCATCCTACATCATATACCTACATATAATAACAATAACAAAAAAAAAATGAATCACTCCACACAGCTCCTGTTTGGATTTTTTTTTGTAATGAGTATTTTTCCAATTCATTTCTGTGTTTTTTTTATTTTTACGAAATCCCCCTCATTTTTTGTTAACATGGGTGAATCACAGACTGACGTCATCATCAGGAATGGCTTTGTTTGCATTCTAAGCTGCTAATGTCCTGTAAATGATTTTCTATACTATAAATCAAAAAGTGATTTATTTTACATGACTCATTCATTGATCTTTGTTTTATTTCGAATCCAATGATGCAATGAGATGAAACTTAATTATTTATTTTTTCAGAAATATCTATCATTCTATTCCAGGTAAATAATGCGTCAAAAAGATGTTAATTATCTCTGAGTGTGTGTGTCATGTGTTTCATTCCTGATATTTATTTTTAATTATTAACTAAGATTGATGATGAAAAATAACTGAAAAAGTTCCGTATTATTCGAAACGAAAGATAAAAATAGGAAATATAAAACAATATGAATATTACACAGTATCTATTTTCTAAGAAAAAATCTTATAAGAAATTATTCGCAATTCAAGAGAAATGATTTTATTTAATAATATAAGAAAACCCATGTGTTTTTATTTGAAACACGGCGAAAAAAGTATTTAAAGAGATAAAATTATGTGTGATATGTTACTCTCACTTCTGTGGAATAGTTAATTTCCTATAAGAATAATTCACAGTTCAATAGAAATAACATGGTTTCATTAAAAAATGTCGCAAAAAACGAATTTTTGACAAACTAATTTAATGTGTGGCCTATTAACTTTACTTCCATGCATTAAGCTTATTAATATTTTTACATAAATTTCCAATAGATTTTTAATGGGATAATATTTTACAAACCTCAGTTTTTCAATTAGCAGTCCTTTTTTAGCTTTTTATAATAAACCAGCTAATTAAAAATATGAATCGAAGTAATGTTTAAGGGTTTTATTTAAAACAGCTGAGAGCTACATATCAAATGAATCAGTTATCGACCGATAACAATGGTGATTTCTTATGTGACGTTTCCACTGCACTTGATTCGCTCTCTATTCGTTGTTTGACCCTTAACTATGAAAAAACTACTTAATTCTTCACACAAAATTTCCCGAGCGAACACTCATATTTGTACGTTGTTCAAATCAAATCACTCTCAGAACAACGAAAAAATATGTCCCATCCCTAACAATTGAGAGCATTTATCGAAAAAATAAATTATGACATTTAAAAATTATAAATAGAAAAATTTAATGAAATTTTAAAAATTTTTGGGAAGACTGAAAATTATGAATGAAAACTACAATGTTGAATGGCGTATGTACATTCAAACGAAAGTAAATTTTGTTTTCTCTCTCATTCGAGGTACGCATTTGGTCCACGAGTTAAAATTTCAACAGAAAACTGAAAACAAGAGGCAATATTTTCAAAATGTTTCTATCGGCAGAAAAAATGTTTGACAAGTGTCTCTCCAGCAGAAATTAAAAATGGAAAAACACAAAACTTTGTTCAAAATGTCAACACTTACACAAAAAGTTGAAAACTTGAATGAAAATTGTAAAATTAATGATATAATAAATCTTTGGGAGGAAAACAATAATTTCTTCTATTCATATTAGTGAGAATTTCATGTATTTTCGTATAAATTCCCATTAAAATCCACAAACAAAATTTTTGAAAAAAGGAATTACTTTACTATAAATTACGAATCGTGCCGTATGAACGGGTTAATTCGTGTACCTAATTCTGAGAGCGAACAACGTTGTTCGGTTTCCAATGGAAACATGCTATTACTAAAGAAATAAATCGCGACAAATGAAAGAAAATGACATTGAAAACAAACACTAACGACAAGAGGGAAATTCTTGTATCAAGTTCATTAGTAACGGTAATTTTTCATAGCATTCCACTACTCCAAAGAGATTATAATTGCAGAAATTAAAGAAGAATAAAGAGAAATGCATCATAACGGACATTTATTATACACATCAAAAAAGAGTTTTTATTAAGAACTAAATGAGAATGGAAATAAAGAGAGATAATTGTTTTGATGACAATAGAAACACAAATGGCGGATTCTTTCATATATTGCTTATCTAAACAATTATGATCTATCAGGCTTGAGATGTTACAATTTTAAAAGGAAATTCCTATTTATTCTAATCCATTCATAAGATATTGTTTGGAATTCTTTCCTCAGATTTAATTATATAATAAAATAAACTTTATGAGAATTATGATAGAATTATGATAGCAAGTATTAGCGACGAAAATAAGTTCTTATTTTTATGTGATTGCATGCAAAACAAATCATAGAAAAAGTGTATGGGAAACTAAATAAATCAAATCAATGCAAGGTATATAAACGCCTACTCCCACTAAATGTAAGACAATCTTGAGCGTATTGTACTATATTTAGCTAAATGTAAGACAATCTTGGGCGTATTGGACTATATTTAGCTAGCGATCTCGATCAAATAATAAAATTGAGTTTTTTTTGCACATGTTTCTTTAGCTTAATAAAAAAATAAGACTTACCATATACTGCTGGACTACTACAACTCCTCGTCAGCGATGGCCGACTGGACGAGGAGTTTGTTTCTTCTTCACTGCAAGGGGTATCCAGGTTATCTTTCGGTCTCTTATTACCGTATTCTAAAACAAAGACAAAAATAAAAATAATATATAAAAATTTATGGCAAATTTGACAAAAAAAAAAAAACTAGACTATGAGACATACATAACGGAATATGGAAAGGTAGGCATGTTTATGTGATTTAAATTCTATACAAGTGCATAAAATACATACAAAAACATTCTACGATAACGTCAAGGAAACAAAAAAAAAAAAAAAACCAAACAAAACATGTTATCCAAGTTCCATGGCATGGAGAAATTTGTAACTTGTTGAATTGGTTTTGTCTTTTTTCTTCATTTTAAGGAAATATGGTGGTTAAGAAGTAATAAACTTTACTACATTGCTATGTATGAACCACATTAGCGGTGGTGCATACCCAGTAGGAAATTTTTGTCAAACATGAATTTAGGTTGATATGAAATAATTAAACAAATAAAAAGTTTTATTTTTTAATTACTGCCTATGATGAACATACAAGTTATTCCAATTTTAACGAATCAGTTTTTTTGTTCTAAATTAAAAATACGCTTGATATTTATAAGTTTATTTTTGTTCTAATTTTTCTTTCTCCCACCTAACGCACCTTTTTTATTATTACTGCCAATAAATATTTAATTCTACCTAATCAACTTTTGGTCATTTCTGGAAACATACCTACCTAACTCTAACAACAAAACAATCAAATTAAATAATAGACTAAAAATATTCCAAATTGTTGACAAAGAGCAATTTGTTTAATAATGCTTTTGACAGTTGCAGAAAAAATGCCGTCGTAACCATTTTGATGAATAACCACAAATGGGTTTGAGATACTGAAAAGTTTATAGAGTACAAAAAACACAAACTTGAATGTTATCTTTCCATTGTTAGAGTATAGTAGCAAGGAGAACTGATAAAGTTTGTGGTTAGATAAAAAATGCAAAAAAGTAAATGAGTCTATAGAATATAGGCCTGCTAATTGCCAACAAAACAGGTGTATTTTGAATTAAAAAATATATTTTTACTTGTAATATTAAGTACATTTGCACCAAGGAGTAATTCATATTCGAAAGTATTTAGACATATTTGATATAATGGTCTTTAAATTATGCACATTTTTTCGAAACGGTATGTCTAAAGGTCTTTTTCATAAAAAATCCCCTTCAAAATATAATTGTTTCAACAAGAGAAATTTTTGATAAATTTTTTGAATCAAAAGTTCTGTAATGTTCATATTTTTTAAGGAGTTATTTTAAAACGTTTTTTGATAATGTATTTAAAAAATATTAAAAAATATTCAAATTTTTACTATCTTAATTTTAACACAAGACGTATGAATTATTAAATTTTAATCCACTTGACTTGTTAAATCTACTAATTGTATTTGTTTACCAAAAATATAGACCGGTGTTAATATTGTTTCCCTAAAACTATTAAAAAATCTGTGTTGTGTAAAGTTGATGTGTAGCCATGCAGCTTTAATAAATTTCAACAGAATTGTCAAATGTAGAACATAAATGAGAAGGCGCTATGTTGGATACGCATTAAACAACATGAGACATAAACAGCCTTGGTCCTCTATGTACTATACACACAATTAGTATGTTCGGTTAGAAAACGATCCAATAGAGAACCTTTTTTATTTTTATCCTATTTTCCTTAATTAGAATATGTATAAAATCATTATTTTGATTCGCATACACTTCAAATAAGAAGAGTTTTGTTTTGTAGGAAATCAAATTTGACAACAGTAAAAAAGAGCAATGGAGCCATGGGAAAAGAAGAGAGAGAAAGAGAGGTCACTGAGTAGAAAGTGCATTAATAACAGTTGTTGTCTTCATTTGTTCCCGTTGCTCTCCGACAATGTCAAGTACGAACATTTTTCCAACTGGTTTCAGCCGACGACAATGGAGTGCATCGAGTCATGACAAGCCAGACTTGTTGTATGTAGTGCTAGGCGAGTTTGTATGTATGTATAAAATGACGACTGAATTGTACCTATACCACACTAACAAAAAAAAAAAAAAAAAAAAAAAAAAAACGACCACTTAAAATACTTGACTTGTTGTTACTGGCTGCTTGGTTGGTCTCTTGTACGATGCTATAGGTTTTTTTTGTTTATTTTGTTACTGCCAAAAACAACAAAAACTCATACCCGAGAATACCAGTTACAAAGTAGCAACAACAACAACGGTAAAATAACGACATCAGCTAAACTCGAACTCGTACTCGAAAGGTCGTTTCAAAGCGTTTTAACAGTGTTGTCTACATTAAAAAAACGCTGCAAAAAGTCATGATTGTTGCGCGCACAAAAGAAAAAAGCGTTACAACAAGATATTTTCCTTCATTGTTGCTCTTGATCTTTTTTTGGTGGGTATGGTGGAATCCAATTGAATTTGACGAGACAACAATACAACAAGCACACCGACAAACAACAGCAACAAGAAGAAGACACTCATTGACGACAACGAACTGACGGAATGACTCACAACAATACGAAATGTTTACAATTTTCTTCTTATAATGAGTAAACACACACATACAAGCGAATTTTACACAACAACAAAAACATCATCATCATCATTGTCAACAACAACATCATATAATAATAATAAACAGCAACAGCTTCGTGAAGATTAATGTTTTCTCTTGATATTGTTGTTGTTGATATTTTTCATTCTTATTAATATAATTCTGTATGAGAAATGAGAGAAGCAAGAAAGACTAGCAACAACAATGTAGATTCTAAAATAAATTGTGAGTAATATTAATGCGGAGTTTGCAGTGTTGGTCAGTGTTGTGGTTGTTGTTGCTGGCTGGTAGTGGTGATGATGATCATGTTGACTTGCTTGCGATCACCTGTATGATCAAACATAGGAATTTATATTTATGCCATGAATGACGGGGTACTCGTAGGAATTCCGCAATGACTAATTTATAATAAATAAGTGCTGTGGTTGTTTGTATGTGCCAGAATCGAGCAGGCAATGATTGTATCGATTAAATTATACAATAATTAAATTGAAAGCAACAATTGTGACGGGGTGTAAAAGAGGGAGGTGGGGTGTGCTTTGTGGCTAATCTTAAATGAATGTAAAGATGATGATTAATAAATTTGCATTATGCATATTTTATAAATTGACATTTTTGCTACACTCAGACAGTCATTCAAACAAAATAAGCAAGCAACGGAAAAAAGTGTAAAAAAGCTTACGTTTTACTTTCGTTACGTAGTTTAAAAAAGCCAACCAATCAACCAACCAGGCGTCAGACGGGGCTGAGAAGACGATGCATACGTAATAAAAATACCAATTCAAACACAAGACTGGTTTAAAATAATAATTTTAGCACACTAATTATGTATTTTTTTTCATTTCAATTTTCGTTCCTTCGCTCTATAACACACATCACCACCACAACACACATTAAAGAACCAAACAAATTGAAAAGTTTTATTAACAGAACAGAAAATAAAAGCGCAAAACTTACCGACTTTGGTGATTGGCATAAATCTTAGAAGTAGGCACGGTGATTCTCTTTTCATCCGCATTTTCATTTCACTTCAAAAAATTATTGTGTGCTATGACTCACGCTAGCACCCTCTCGCTTTCTCACACTGTGCTCAATTGCTCTGTGGTTCGGTCGTTTGTCTCTTTCTGGGTTGTTGCTGTTTGCTGCTTTATTTTCGTTGCGTTGTTGAATCACACATAAACACACAAACAAACACTCTCACGTATATTGTATTTATTTTTTTCTTTTTTATTTTAATCTATGTATGTATGTAGGTAGGTAGGTATACAACACGACGACTACGTAAGTTCAGTAAAAAAACGACACAACGACGAAAGAAATCACTTGAGTCAATCAAGCTCGATTTAAATGAAATATTTTTTAACTTTTCGATTATCACCAGTAATGCAAATAGACACACACAAAGGGGGTGGTGGGGGGAGGTAGAGTGGGTTAAGAAGTTTTCACCTTACTTCTTTTTTAACTCGACGATCTTGTTTAATTCATAGATATTCTCATTTGAAATCCTTTTTTTTTTTTTTGATAACAACAAATACACTCCAACACTTGTTGGACACGCGGACAAAATATTTTTTTACGAAACACACTTCCTGAAGTCAATGAATGTTGTAAACAAGCGCGGCTAATATACATGCAATGTGTAGAAGGCCGTTTAAAATGCGTGGCTAATTTTTTGTTTGATCAAGTTTTTGTTAATTGAATGTCTCTTTCTGTTGCTGATTTTTCACTTTTCTTTTAAATTTATATTATTATTTTTTAACAGAAGGCACTTTATTGATTTTGTTAATTATTATTGTATGGTTTTTTCTCACTCAACGTTATATTAATAGTGTAAAGTTAAACAATTTTTTGTCTGTTTATATGAACAGTTCGTACTTGTGTACTTGTGAATGTTTTTATCGCGTTCCGTATTTGCGAATTCTGTTCTTTGCGCTCTCAATGATTATATGATTATGAGTGATCCAATAATGATGGAAAGTAATGAGTACAATAGGGATATCTAAGCTGACTTTTGACTAATCGACAACTCGTGGCGGGAAATAACCGAAACATCGTAGTCGATAGTTATTTGAGTCAGAGACGGAAATGATGTATTGTTTTATTCTTGCTATAAGAATAGATACAAGCTATTATGCTATGTTTTCATTACACTTTTAATCACGTAGTTCGCTCTCGGAATTAGGTACAAGAATTAACCCGTTCATGCGGCACGATTTGCCTTAATAATTATAGAAGAGATTATTGTTTTTTCTCCAAAGATTTGTTTTATCTTTCATTTAACAATTTTCTTTTTTTTTTTGGCATTTTAGATATATTTTTGTATATTTTTTTTAAATTCATTTGAAGAGTCAAAACCCTTATATTACGCATAAAAGCAAAAGCAGAATGTTACGTTTGTTGTACAATAACATGTTGTGTTACCAGTATTATTCTACCAATAAAAAAATAGGTACTAACGTTTTAAATTTAAAACACCCATCCCCGCTCTACATTTAAGGTGTCCCATACATTTAAGCGTATGACAGACAATTTTTAAATGTCATACCATGGTAGAAGAATATAGGTAGACGCATCGACGCAGCTGCTGGGACAATGAACTGTCAAACCAATTTTGGAATTGAAAATGTTAAATGAAAAATTATTTAAATTTGTAAAAATTGTTGAAAAAGCCATATTATAATAACCTCCGAATGACGTCGTATTAGAAAATATATAAAAATCTACTTATATTTGAAAAGAAATTTAAAAATTTTTGACATATCAATGCTCCCATGCGTTGATGCATCTACCTGTATTTTTCTACCATGTGTCATACAAATGACTGTTGAGCCTACAAAATATTTTGAAATGTAAATTAAAATTGTGCAAAAAGTAAAAATTTATTGACAAAATAATAACTATTTTAATAAAATGTATGTGTCGCGAGTTAAGCGTAATGGAAGCGTATGGCAGGCATTGTGAAATGTCATAGAATTTACTGTTTTGCCTATAAAATATATTGAAATGTAAATTAGAATTGTGCAAAAAGTAAAAATTTATTGACAAAATAATAACTATTTTAATAAAATGTATGTGTGTCGCGAATTAAGCGTAATGGAAGAGTATGGCAGGCATTGTGAAATGTCATAGAATTTACTGTTTTGCCTACAAAATATGTTGTAAATTAAACAATTATAACCAATTTAATTAAATACATATTTGCAAGGATGTAAAGCGCAATTGTAAATTGCAAGGCAGGTAAGAATTTTCCAAATATATTTTTAACATCATAAAGACCGGCTGAAACTCAATAATGAATGAATCGATTCACGTACAAGTGGGATCAACTTCCAAGATTGTTTTGCTTTAATTGTTAATATCAATACAAGACTTCAGTAGCTTTTGGGACACCTTCGCGGATTGATCTGGAACTTTTACTACAGGTACCCCTTGAGTTTTGAGTACAGCGATTATCAATGCGGAAGCTCGTACTTCCGAGTTATGTAATAACCTTCTGTAGCATTGTTTGTGTTTGGACATACCCAAAAGAGAACAACTGAAGCCTCAGACAAAGTCTGGCTACTTATTAAATTCAGAAATCTTGGCATCTCAAGATATGGAAACGGAGATGATATCAATACAAAACAATATTCTTAAACTTACGTGGAATAATTTTATTTACAGATGATATAAATATTCGACGAATACTTCAGTTTGTTACAACCGGATTTACAAAGTCCCCCCCTAAATACCGGCATTATAACATAATAATCTGTAACATTCATTTGTATTTTGTTGTTTATTTTGCAATTTCCTTGCTCTATACAAAAGTGTTAGAAAAAAATACAAATACCCCATAAAACGTTACATAAAAAATTTAAAACACATATTAAGATTTAACTAAACCTATCGCTATTGGCATATGGACAGATCAGTAGATAATTCAGTCAAATCCTAGGCAAACTCATGTTTGACGGGCGTTGTCCAGCCACCAAATGCCATCTCCAAGGCACCGGCAACTTGTAGGCATAGTTTATCTTTAAAAGGAGCAGCAACAATTTGAAAACCCACAGGTAATCCATCACTATCTAAACCCATTGGAATGTGTGTACAGGGTAAACCCAAAACATTGAACAGCAGTGAATAGTCAATTGCCCATTGGGCCAGTGATGAGGTATGATGATGTATTGCTGGGACGGGGAAAGTGGGGAAGAAAAGTACGCCATCATTGCCCAATACATTCTGAAAGAGAAACATTAATCCAAAATTTAAATTTATATATAAATTAAAGAATCTCTTTTAAGGTGGCCTTATTATTTCATATTTGTCATTATCAATTTGATCACATCGAAAGACAAATAAGCAAATCAATAAGTTTTCTTTTGTCCGTCTACTCACTATAATCTCTTCCTTTAATTTTTGACCTTCCTCTTTGTACTTAATTAATTTTTCCGGTGTCATAAATGCATTGGTCCGCCTCAAAAGCTCAAATGTTAAACCTTCCTTGGTGTATTTAGATTTTTTGCAATAGCTCTTCACCAATTCGATAAGCAAATGCTTGACACTAGTATCTTCAGACATTAGCAATGGTAACTGTCTTAAACGTGCAATGCCACTAAATGCGATTTCTGTGGAATTTTCCAAACCCTTGATCTTAGCTATTTCCGTTGTCAATCCCGATTGTTGCAAACATTTAACTGCCTTCAAAATGGCAATTTGAATGTCAGCTGTAACTCCGTGATGTAAAATACCATTGAGGCCACTGAAGCCCAACAAATAATAGATCTAGGAAATACAAGTGTAAAAATAAAATTCAATGCGATTTTGTGTTAAAATTGCTTACCTTTATGTCCTTGGTTTCAATGGGATGTACAAATTCCAATTTTCTAGCATTCTCCCCTGCCATTATATGAAGTATAAGACCCAGATCCGATCCAAATCGACTTATAACACCTGTTTGTAAATACTGGTTACATTCTTCAGAGTCACATGAAGGAAATACCTCAGTATTGGGTATTAAGCCGCCAGTGGGTTTATGACCAAAGACCCCATTAAATAAACTAGGTATACGTATTGAGCCGGCAATATCGGAACCTATGCCAAACAATGTTGAGCCGCTACCATTGAGTGCGCCCTTCAGGAAAGTAAATTTTTGGAGTAGGTAAAAGTAGTTGAAGTTTTTTTTTGATGCAACTCACCTCACCACCAGATGAGCCACCACATGTTCTCCGTGCATCATATGGATTGAGACATTTTCCATTTGTATATGAATTGGTTTCTATACTAAAACAATATTCGGGATTGGCAGAAACGAGTAGAGGTATAGCACCGGCAGATTTCAAGTTTTCCACTGGTATACTGTCGCGTTGGGCCTTCATGCCATCTCGTTGCAGACTACCAACAACGAAAGACATACCTATATTTATAACATAAAATAAATTTAATATTATTTTTCAAAAAAAAAATTATTTTACCTTTCAAGCCACATGACTCCTTCACCGTAAACGGTATGCCTAACAAAGGGTATCTGGCATACAATTGTGATAACTGGCTATTGGCACATTTAAATATTAAGTCATCAGCTCGCTTGGCGTCCGCCAGAGCTTCTTCAAAACGATCCTGGACAACGGCATTTATATGCGGGTTAACTTCTTTGATACGTTCAATATAGGCTTTGACCAATTGCTGAGAGGTTAGCTGAGATGTTGAAACAGTAAAAATCATTATAGCTCTTCCAAAAAATTAATTGTCTTACCCTCTTAGTTCGCATTAATTGAATAATTTCCACCAGAGGAATGGTTAGTAGTTTATCTTTTATGGTAGGAATGTGTTCATTCTTTTTGCGTGGCAAAATCACAGTTAAAATAACATAGACAATATTATAAACTATTTTTACAATAAATTGCAATAATCTTAGTATAAAGTCCATCTTTTAATTGAACACAATTTAACTTTTAACATTTAAAACATTTAATGGACGTCAAGTGAAGAAGAATGAAAATGAACATAAACAGAAAACAAAACTGCCGAGTTTACGAATGAGGAGAGAAAAGCAAAGACACGTTAGAAAACGTAGTCAGCTGGAAACATAGGGTAATATAGATATGAGTCAAGTCCGGAGCTCAAATAAACAAGCCATATAAATAAAAGTTTTTTGTTTCGAGCTGGCGGGCGCGAGGGAAATCTTCATCCTTCTTCTTTTTTGTTCATAAATTCAAACACCTTCCATGAAATACATTTTTCAACGATTGCCAGGATAACTAATTGAAAAGAACTATTCAGTGAGATAAACGCATGAAACTAGTTCCAGTTTAACTTCATTTCTGCAGTTTTAGTTTTTTTTTAATCCACTTTACACTTTTACTGTTTTCTGGCTGTGGTAGTTTTAATAAATAATAATAATGCACTGCCTCTTTAAAAGGCATATGCAAATGACAGAAAAATAACCGAGTTGATGTTAGGGATCTAAAGGTTGATTTCCTACTAAAATTCAATTTACAGTTTGAAAGTCTTTCATACTTCAAAACGTGTTTTAACCGTTGCAAGAGTTAGAGAATAAACGATTGTATACGAAGGAAAAATGTGATAAAGAGGAATATTAAAACTCTTTGTTAAAAGACAAAAAACGAACTTAAGCAAATGGCGAGGAAATAACCGAGTTGCCTTTAAGGGGTTTATAAGGACTGATATCTTTCCACACCTCAACTTACGATTTGAGCGTTTTTCATGTTTCTCAAGTGATTCTTGTGTTGAGGTAAATTTAGAAAATTGAATAGAAAGGAAAGAATGGAAAAAACACATATTTTAAACACATATTACGAACTAAAGACAATGGCGGGAAAATAACCTAGGTGTTTTTTAGGGATGTAAAGATTGATTTCTTACTTGGCGTCAACTTACAGTTTGAGATGTACTTCATACTGTTTATCAAAAATGTATTTTTGAGCAAAGAGCAACAGAATTGAAAAAATGAGACATACCACTCGATTAATAAAATTAGATTAATAAAAATTAGTCTCTCAAAGGATATACGATTGAGTAAGCTATTGCTATTAACTATGTTATTGCTATGTTATGTCTGTGTACATTTGTTTGCAACTTGCAAGATGAATCGTGTTAGACATAAACATCGTTTTGGTTAGGAGTTGCAAATTAAATGGCAAATATAAATTTGTTAATCAAGTAAGTAAACTACTTTATAATGATTTAATAAAAAAAACATGTGTTTTTATTTAACGACATCATTGCAAAATCCCTTCACTCAAGTGTTTTACAAAATATTTTTAAGTAACATCAAGTAAATAAACAAAATTAAATTATATTCATCTTATAACTAAATAAATAGGTGGCTTAACTCTAGTTTAGTAAAAACTCTTCAATTTTTTCGAAAATTTTTTCAGTGGTAGGTATTTTAACCATGATCCCGGGAAACTATTTTTTTCTTGGGGGACGGACCTGGGACCCCAAATTTTTGACCCGAAAGTCCGGGTTCGAGACCCCTACTAGACCCGGATCCACTTACCCGATATAGACAATATGGGTATCGTTGGAAAGCTTATGAAAATACCTATCCAACAAATGGTCACATGATGGGGTAAGATCTTACGGTTCGGAAGTTATAGTCAAATTATCGATTTTTTGGACCCGGATTTTTTATAAAACCCCCAAAAAGTCAAAAAAGGGTCCATTATGGGGGACAACAAAATTGATGCCAAATTATAGCTGACACTTCTACCTTTCCAAAAAGGTTCAATTTGTGCTAATACCTTTACTGAGTCCAGAGATATGGGTCTTTCCATCCGCATAACCCGATTCTAACCAGTTCATTAAAACTATGTTTTCAATAAAAAAGGTATATTTTGCGTAAGAATGAAATTCAGAAATCTTTGGTTCGCGTTAGCCGAACCTTCAAAACGTGTTTTAACCGTTGCAAGAGTTAGAGAATAAACGATTGTATACGAAGGAAAAATGTGATAAAGAGGAATATTAAAACTCTTTGTTAAAAGACAAAAAACGAACTTAAGCAAATGGCGAGGAAATAACCGAGTTGCCTTTAAGGGGTTTATAAGGACTGATATCTTTCCACACCTCAACTTACGATTTGAGCGTTTTTCATGTTTCTCAAGTGATTCTTGTGTTGAGGTAAATTTAGAAAATTGAATAGAAAGGAAAGAATGGAAAAAACACATATTTTAAACACATATTACGAACTAAAGACAATGGCGGGAAAATAACCTAGGTGTTTTTTAGGGATGTAAAGATTGATTTCTTACTTGGCGTCAACTTACAGTTTGAGATGTACTTCATACTGTTTATCAAAAATGTATTTTTGAGCAAAGAGCAACAGAATTGAACAAATGAGACATACCACTCGTTTAATAAAATTAGATTAATAAAAATTAGTCTCTCAAAGGATATACGATTGAGTAAGCTATTGCTATTAACTATGTTATTGCTATGTTATGTCTGTGTACATTTGTTTGCAACTTGCAAGATGAATCGTGTTAGACATAAACATCGTTTTGGTTAGGAGTTGCAAATTAAATGGCAAATATAAATTTGTTAATCAAGTAAGTAAACTACTTTATAATGATTTAATAAAAAAAACATGTGTTTTTATTTAACGACATCATTGCAAAATCCCTTCACTCAAGTGTTTTACAAAATATTTTTAAGTAACATCAAGTAAATAAACAAAATTAAATTATATTCATCTTATAACTAAATAAATAGGTGGCTTAACTCTAGTTTAGTAAAAACTCTTCAATTTTTTCGAAAATTTTTTCAGTGGTAGGTATTTTAACCATGATCCCGGGAAACTATTTTTTTCTTGGGGGACGGACCTGGGACCCCAGATTTTTGACCCGAAAGTCCGGGTTCGAGACCCCTACTAGACCCGGATCCACTTACCCGATATAGACAATCGTTGGAAAGCTTATGAAAATACCTATCCAACAAATGGTCACATGATGGGGTAAGATCTTACGGTTCGGAAGTTATAGTCAAATTATCGATTTTTTGGACCCGGATTTTTTATAAAACCCCCAAAAAGTCAAAAAAGGGTCCATTATGGGGGACAACAAAATTGATGCCAAATTATAGCTGACACTTCTACCTTTCCAAAAAGGTTCAATTTGTGCTAATACCTTTACTGAGTCCAGAGATATGGGTCTTTCCATCCGCATAACCCGATTCTAACCAGTTCATTAAAACTATGTTTTCAATAAAAAAGGTATATTTTGCGTAAGAATGAAATTCAGAAATCTTTTGTTCGCGTTAGCCGGTGTAGGACATACCCAGAGGAGAAAATCTCAAGCCCCGGCCGAAGGCCGGCTACTTACAAAAGGTATCCAATTTAGAAAACTTTGGTTCGCGTTAGCCGGTGTGGGACATACCCAGAGAAGAAAATCTGAAGCCCCGGCCGAAGGCCGGCTATTTACAAAAAGTGTCAAATTTAGAAAACTTTGGTTCGCGTTAGCCGGTGTGGGACATACCCAGAGGAGAAAATCTCAAGCTCCGGCCGAAGGCCGGCTATATACAAAAAGTGTCAAATTTAGAAAACTTTGGTTCGCGTTAGCCGGTTTAGGACATACCCAGAGGAGAAAATCTCAAGCCCCGGCCGAAGGCCGGCTACTTACAAAAGGTATCCAATTTAGAAAACTTTGGTTCGCGTTAGCCGTTGTAGGACATACCCAGAGGAGAAAATCTCAAGCCCCGGCCGAAGGCCGGCTATTTACAAAAAGTGCCAAATTTAGAAAACTTTTGTTATTCCGACGACTGCTACGCGAAATAAACACTTTTTTTATTAAAAACATAATTTTAATGAACTGGTTAGAATCGGGTTATGCGGATGGAAAGACCCATATCTCTGGAACCGAAAAAGGTATTAGCACAAATTGTAGCATTTTGGAAAGGTAAGAGTGTCAGCTATAATTTGGAAACAATTTTGTTGACCCCCATAATGGGCCCTTTTTTGACTTTTTGGGGGTTTCATAAAAAATCCGGGTCCAAAAAATCGATAATTTGACTATAACTTCCGAACCATGAAAACTTACCCCTTGTTGGATAGGTATTTCCATAAGCTTTCAATCGATACCCATATTGTCTATATCGGGTAAGTGGATCCGGGTCCAGGCGGGGTCTTGATCCCGGACTTTTGGGTCAAAAATCTGGGGTCCCGGGTCCGTCCCCCAAGAAAAAAATAGTTTCCCGGGATCAGGGTAAAAATACCTACCTCTGGAACAAATTTCGAAAAAATCTAAGAGTTTTTACTAAACTAGAGTTGTTCCAAATAGGTTAATATTATTCATATTTTTATATCAGTTCCGTTGTAATGGACATTCGATAGAATTCTATTCGGCACAGCTGCAAACCATTGACAACATCTTACAAATTCTATTTCTGAGGTTGAACCCAACCACCAAAGGCCGCCTCCATTTCAGCGGCAACTTGAAGGCATAATTTATCCATATAAGGGGCAGCCACAACTTGAAAGCCTACCGGTAATCCTCTGCGATCCAATCCCATGGGTACATGGGTCGCTGGGAAGCCTAAGACATTGAAGAGTAGCATAAAAATGGTACCACTTATGTTCAGAAAAGAACATCCATTGAAGAAGTTGGCAGTTTTATGATAGGTAGGTAGGATTAAAACACCGTTGGTGCCAAGTAAGTTCTAAAAATGAAGGAGGAGAAATGAATTTAGCATTTAATAATATTAAATAATTCATTTTTTAATAATTTTTTAACTATTTTTGCTAAGGATTATGAAAGATCAAAAATCTCGTTTTTTCTTACTCACCCCCAATTTGGTCCGTAGCTGTTTGACCTCCTCCTTCCATCGTGCTGATTCCTTGGTGGGAATAAATGCATTAACAAGTATCATTAACTCCACAAAAAGCGGCATGGTGGTATAGGGTACCAAACCAAACAGACTTTGAGCAATTTTCTGAATTATTTGCAGTTTATTGGGTTTGTTTTCGACCGATTGGGTTACGATACTGGGAAGTCCTTTGATGCTGGCCAATGATGAAAGGCATATTTCAATGGCATTTTGGAATTCTTTCAAATGTAGCTGAGGAAAATATACATCAATTGTTTTTTCAAAGTTATTACCATTTGGAATCCATTCTTACCTCTTCTGTGGCAATACCACCTTTTTCAAAACATTTTACCGCCCTTGTTATAGCTAATTTGATTTCAAAATCTACCGGAACATGTAGAAAATTTCCCATTGAGTAGCTATAATAAATCTGAAAATAAAATGTTTTATTTTATATAATTTTTTCTATTTTTAGTTTTCCTGTCAATCGGATCGTTAAAACGCACACCTTCAGCTTTTGAAAATCAATTTCCTCCGTCAGTTTCAACTTCTTGGCATTCTCTCCGGCCATAACTTGCAGCAACAATGGCAAATCTTTGGCAAACCTAGTAATTGGACCCATTTGTAAGTAATATGGAAAATCTTCTTCTTTGGTACTGTAGGGATAATGACCCTTAACTGAAATCAGGCCACCGGTAGGTTTATGACCAAACACACCGCAAAACAGCGATGGCAAACGTATAGAGCCACTAATGTCAGAGGCTAAACCAAATGTAGAGGCACCAGCACCATTGAGGGTACCCTGAAAAATTAACAAAATATCCAACAAATGTTTAGGATCTGTTATTTATTATCCTTACCTCTCCACTTGAGGAGCCGCCAGATGAGCGCCGCATATCATAGGGATTTAGACACTTGCCATAAACTATTGTCTCACCATCAAAGGCTAAACAAAATTCTGGATTTGCTGACACCAGTAGAGGAATGGCACCGGCAGCTCTCATCTGTTCAACAGCATCGCCATTTTCGGGAGATTTTTCATCTTTTCTGGCCACACTGCCCACAGAATATGAGAGGCCTGGAAAATGGTAGAATTGATTGAACACTTTTTTATTAGTTTTCAATGATAAGAAGAATAGTTAAAAGTCTTATTTGATGATGAGAGGAAGACATTTTGAGAAGATTTTTGGGTATATTTATAAGAAGACATCGTGGTCTGTTATGACAAGAATTTCTACGAGAAGACCTTTCCTACAAGAAGACCTTTTAGTCTCCTTCGAGAAGATCTTTAAGTCTCCTTCGAGAAGACCTTTTGGCCTCCTATGAAAATACCTTATGGTTTCCTATGAGAAGACATTTTGGTCTCCTATGACCTTTTGTCATTCTATGAGAAGACCTTCTGGCCTCCTATAAGAAGACCTTGTGGACTTCTATGAGAAGACCTTGTGGTCTCCTATGAGAAGATCTTCTGGCCTTTTATCAGAAGACATTCTGGTCTTCTATGAGAAGATCTTCTGGCCTTCTATGAGAAGACCTGTTGGCATTCTATGAGATGATCTTCTGGCATTCTAAGGAAGACCTTCTGGCCTTCTATGAGTAGACCTTTTGGCATTCTATGAGATGATCTTCTGGCATTCTAAGGAAGACCTTCTGACCTTCTATAAGAAGACCTTCTGGCCTTCTATGAGAAAACATTTTGGCCTGCTATGAGAAGATCTTCTGGCCTTCTATGAGAAGACCTTCTGCCCATCTATAAAAAGACCTTCTGGCCTTTTATCAGAAGACATTCTGTTCTTCTATGAGAAGACCTTCTGGCCCTCTATGAGAAGACCTTGTGGACTTCTATGAAAAGACCTTGTGGGCTGCTATGAGAAGACCTTGTTGACTTCTATGAGAAGACATTGTGGCCTCCTATAAGAAGACCTTGTGGACTTCTATGAGAAGACCTTGTGGTCTCCTATGAGAAGATCTTCTGGACTTCTATGAGAAGACCTTGTGGACTTCTATGAGAAAACCTTGTGGACTTCTATGAGAAGACCTTCCGGCCTTCTATGAGAAGACATTTTGGCCTCCTATAAGAAGACCTTGTGGACTTCTATGAGAAGACTATGTGGTCTCCTATGAGAAGATCTTCTGGCCTTCTATGAGAAGACCTTCTAGCCATCTAAAAAAAGACCTTCTGGCCTTTTATCAGAAGACCTTCTGGCCTTCTATGAGAAGATCTTCTGGCCTTCTATGAGAAGACCTTTTGGCATTCTATGAGATGATCTTCTGGCATTCTAAGGAAGACCTTCTGACCTTCTATAAGAAGACCTTCTGGCCTTCTATGAGAAAACATTTTGGCCTGCTATGAGAAGACCTTTTGGCCTTCTATAAGAATATGCCTGGGTCTTCTATGAGAAGACCTTTTGGCCTTCTATGAGATGATCTTCTAACATTCCAAGGAACACCTTCTGATCTTCTGGCCTTCTGTGAATCAATTTCTGACGTTTTATTAGAGGAACTTCTGGCATTGCATGCGCAATCCTTTGGAAAAGAAAAACCTCTTGGCTGTGTGTGAACTTCTGATCGCCTATGAGAATGTCCCATGATCTTCTATGGGAAGTAATTAGGAGAAAACATGTTGGTTTTCTCTGAGGGTAACGGTCGGTCTCATATAAAAATACTTGTTGGCGAAAATTGTCCGCTTTTGATGAGAAAACCAGACAGTCTTCTTTTAGAAACTTTGGAATATATTTTACAAATTTCTTTGGTCTTCCCTGAGAAGACATTTTGAGTCCTCTATGAAAATAACTACGAGATTATTGGTCTTTTATGCCAGGAACTTCTTGTCACTATCCTTTTGGTTATCAATGAGAAGAAGCATTGACATTGATTGGTGAGATCTTCTGTACGAGAACACTTTTTGGATTTTATGAAGTCCGTTTGATTGTCTTTCTGACGTTTTATTAGAGGAACTTCTGGCATTGCATGCGCAATCCTTTGGAAAAGAAAAACCTCTTGGCTGTGTGTGAACTTCTGATCGCCTATGAGAATGTCCCATGATCTTCTATGGGAAGTAATTAGGAGAAAACATGTTGGTTTTCTCTGAGGGTAACGGTCGGTCTCTCGTTGATCTCTTATGAGAAGTCATTTTTGTCTTTGTCCTTTCAATAGAAAATATGTTCGTTTTATAGAAAATACTATAAGAAGATAATTGTTTATTGTTTATATCCTTGGGAGAAGTTTTATATTTTTAATAAAATGTGTATTTATTGGATTTCTATGAGCTGAATATCTATAAATTTGTAGATTTGAAAATAATCATTTAGATATTTAAAGACAAGTTGTCATTGCTAGGCAATTAGTTTTTGTTTAAATACATTTATTTAGACAATATAAATCATGCGGATAGTATTGAACAAAGCAAACCTCAATTAAACAAGTACATTATTCAAAAATAACGTCATGATTCACATATTGATTACGAAACCCTTTAATACAGTGAAACATCGTAATGTTGAATTTTACTTCCAATAAAAAAAAAACGTTCTCTCGATTACAATAAGGTCTGTTGTGTGACAATATTGGGTTGGGGTTTACTGTCTTAATATAATTCAACGGCTTGGCCATATGCCACATATTTAATTGGTCAAAGTCCAACCTTAGTGGAACTTTGAACTTGGCTTTAGTTTCTAATCACAAACGACGAGTGCCTTCTGGTGATAACACAGCTGAGCCATTTATCCCCCATGTGTTGAAACATGAAAAATATGTGAATTTGAATAATTTCGGAATAATTTGCTTTTCTATTTTTGACCGCAAAAACTATACTGGACTTATACTGTCTTTGATATGACAATCTATAGGGGCTGATAAGCCATTAGAGATCCGTGAATGGGGAAACATACAAAAAAAACTTTTTTTTAAATAAATAATGATTTTATTAATGTTTTAGCAGGAGGTAATTAACTTAAGATCATAAAATGGAAACATGTGACTAAACCCTCGAAAAAAATCCCTTAAAATGGGGCTGGGCGCATCGTAGAGACTACATTTTCCCAAATTAAAAGTTATTATCCCCTAAATAAAATCTATGGAGGTCTGAAATGATCATTCTCGAAATTATAAATTACATTTCAGAAGACCTTCATTAACCTTTGGATACATCAAAAAATAAAACATTAATTTTGTGAATTGTCCAAATATCACCTAACAAAATTTTAAATAGGGTCTTGTTGTTATGTTAATTTAGAATGCAATGCAGCCAAGGTCGAAATTTGATTTTTTTTGGAATATACATAAAGTGCTGACGTAAAGTTTGTTTAATGTTTAAATGTATTCACGATACATAAAATTAGCATCACCGAAACCGTGTTGCCTATGCATATATATATGCCTATGCGCATATATATATTGTACATTTGTATTTTCTCCAGTGGATTTACTGTTCTGTGTCTAACTTTTTCTTAAAGATGGCTCGATATCAGTGACGTCTAGACGTTACACGTAGGCGACGAAGTTAGTCGACAACGTTGTTGTTGTAAACACAACAATAATGGAATAAACAAATACTTTAACGTTGAATTATTGCCGTTTTATAAAAACGAATATAAATAAATGTTCAAGTCTGAACTAATTTAGGCATTTATACATTGTCGAATATTTATATATTTTATACCCTACGCCTTACATAGTATATAGGAGGGTATATTAAGTTCATCTTTCCATTTGTAACTCATGGAAAAAATAATTTTAGACATAGTAAAGTATATATATTCTTGATCAGCGTAAAATTCTGAGACGATTTATCCCACTCCGGAGCTGGAGTCGAAACGAATTAGGATAGGAAGCTAAAGTTTTGCACAAATCATTCTAACCAAATTTTCAATGGAATTGTTCGATACATGATATCCCCATGCAACGGGGTCCCCCGATATTCGGTTTTTGGGATATTCAACGCAACTTGTTTCAAATTTTGTATTTAGAGTTCGTAATAGATACTACAGCCCATGTCAAAAAATTGCGTATGCAGGCCCACGTCTCCGTATATTCCCCATATAGCGGTACAACCCGATATTCGGTATTTTTATGATTTTAGCGACATTATTAACCGGAATTGTTTAAAATTTGGTATTTGAAGTTCGTAATGGATACTACAGCCTATGAGAGAAAATTGTCTATGCAGGTCCATGTTTTGGTATAGCCCCCATATAATGGTACCCCTCCTATATTCGGTATTTTGATGATTTCAGCGACATTATTCACCGGAATTGTTTCAAATTTAGTATTTGAAGTTCGAATTTGATACTACACCCTAAGACAGAAAATTGTCTATGCTGGTCCAGGTCTTCGTATAGGCCCCATATATCAGTACATCCCTATATTCGGTATTTTGAAGATTTTAGGTACAATACCCACCAAATTGTTTGAGATGTGGTATTTGAAGTTCGTAATGGATGCTACAGCCTATGTCAAAAATTGCCTATGCAGGCCCACGTCTTCGTATAATCCCCATATAGCGGTACCTTCCGATATTCGGTATTTTCATGATTTTAGCGGCATTATTCACCGGAATTGTTTAAAATTTGGTATTTGAAGTTCGTAATGGATACTACAGCCTATGATAGAAAATTGTCTGTGCAGGTCCATGTTTTGGTATAGCCCCCATATAACGGTAATTCCCTATATTCGGTATTTTGATGATTTTAGCTACATTATTCGCCGATTTTTTTTCAAGTTTCGCATTTGAATATTGTAATGGCTTATGACAAAAGTTGCCTGTATGCAGGTCCACGTCGTCGTATAAACCCTAAAATAACTGCTACATTCGGTATTTTTGAGATTTTATCAGAATTTAACATTAAAAAAAAATATTAACATTAAATATAAATGTAAATATAAATATGATTTTTTTTAATTGTCAAATTTGTTCCAAATGGTTGAGGGTATTCAAAGTCGGCCTGGCCGAACTTAAGGGCTAAGTACATAAGAAGCTTGAAGTCATGGCACGGCCTATTTTGTGACATTTCACAAAGGAATTACGGAGCCGCACTAAAATCCTGCCGTCGTTTTTCATTATAATTTGGCATTAATATGCCTAGCCATGACTTCAAGCTTTTTATGTATTTGCAGCCTTACAGCTTTTTTACTTGTTATCAATTAAATGTACACCCCCGAATCCAGTGAAATTTGTTTTTGAGTCCATATCTATCATATCTGTTGTTTTTCTTCGCAGTTGACCGCCATTTTTTGCGATATCAGAATAACATATACATTTTGCCCAATCTTTATGTCTTTGGAAGAAGAAGAAGAAGAAGTAACTTTTACAGATTTGGAAGACTTACACAAGAAAACTTTCTCATTCAGCGAGATCAGTGAGGTTTCAATAAAACGATATTACAGTATTTTAGAAGTTTATGACGTTTTATGCTTTTCCAACGTTTTCCTATGATGTTTACAAGTTTTTCGACATTCGAAAACATAAAAATATGTCAAACAGACCATTTCTGCTTTCTCATTTTAATTAAGCATTTCTGACACCTGTTTTGTTGTTAAAAAATTAAGCTGTTTAAAATGATATTTCGGGAAACATTTAACATCGTTAAAACAAACTACATACTAAATTTCCGACATTAATTAGAGAAAAATTCTTAGCATTTAGATCACTTTGTACATGATGTGACCCTGATGCCAAATTTAAAAATCTTAAGATCATATCAAACAACACAGTAGAATTGGAAATTTTTAGCACCGAAATATTTTGTATATTTTCTCATTTATTTACAAAAACAATGTTTATTATGATTAAGTGTTTTTTGTAGCATTATTAGTACAAACTCTCATAAATGTTACCATTTTCGACCTTTTCATTTTAGAAGCGATCCTTATTGCCACTATTTTATACAAAGAAATTACTATACGTGGTATCGAATTTCACAAAAAAGGTTTTGATTATTTTACAAAAGAATGTGTACCAGCTTAAAGAATTCTAGTTAAAATAGAACAATATATTTTACTTTTCAGTACAACATCAAGATTCTGACAGGACTTTCAAAAATGCGGCTAGGCTCTTTTAATAAATATTAGGAGGAGTCCAACATTATATGGAAGCTTTTAAAAACCCGGTTCAATATTCATCTCAGGTTTCTGGTTGAGAGAAATATTAGTTTTTAGACTTGTTTCGCAAGTTGTGCCAGATAACAGTATTAATAAGTAAAAAAGTTGCTAAGTTCGGACGGGTCGAACTTTTAATACTCTCCGACATTTGGAAAGAACATGACAAATTAAAAAAAAAAACAGTAAAGAAAGTCTTAAAGTCGGGCGGGGCCGACTTTATGATACCCTACACCACTTTGCTAATTTAGTAGAGCTCCGCATAACAATTAAAAGTTTTTATGGGAGAATTTAATCATACACGCTATGATTACAATTATAATTCAAAAGACTAAATATGCCGAAGCATTTGTATCTTTTAAATTCGGATTTGTATTGCCCTTTTGGTGCACAATTAATTTGAAATCGGTTAAAGATATATATGGGAGCTATATCCAAATCTGAACCGATCTCGATAAAATTTGGCACAGATATTTCTGAGCTGTATTTGATATATTTCCCTGAATATCGTTGTTACGGAGTGCATATTACGGCTGTGGGTAACAAATATAACAAATCGGATGAACAGTATATATGGGAGCTATAGCTATATCTGAACCGATCTTCACCAAATTTGGCATTCTAGCTTCTAGACTCAATTTGGTCATATGTGCCAAATTTCATCCAATTTGGGCAAATATTAGATGTTTGGTGCACAATCGAAGGTAAATCGGACGAAGTTATATATGAGAGCTATATCCAAATCTGAACCGATCTCGATAAAATTTAGCAAAGGTATTTCTGAGCTGTATTTGATATATTTCCCCAAATATTGTTATTACAGAGTGCATATTACGGCTGCGGTAGACAAAAATAACAAATCGGATGAACAATATATATGGGAGCTATAGCAATATCTGATTTCAATCAAATTTAGCATACTTATTTTCAGGTCCAATCTGATTGTACATGCAAAATTCTATACTATTCGGACTGATATTACACGTTTGGTGCACAATAAAAGACAAATCGGACGAAGATATATATGGGAGCTATATCTAAATTTTTACCGATTATCTCCAATTTCAATAGGGTTCGTCCTTGGGCCAAACAAATGATTTGTGCAAAATTTGATCTGGATAGGGCAATAAATGCGAACTGTACTTTGTTTACAAAAATACATGGACAGACGGACGGACGGACATGCATAAATCGACTCAGAATATGATTCTATGCAGATAATCCAAAGGAACTATGGGTCTATCTCGTTTCCTTTTGCCTGTTACAAACAAATGCACAAAGACATAATACCCTGACCACCTTGTGGGGTAGGGAATAAAAAAATCCGAAAACTACCACTTAAATGAAAACCGTTATATTTGAAACAGCTCCAGTCAATAAAGTCGCTAAAATCATGAAAATACCGAATATAGATAAGCATAAAACAGAAAATGGGCCATGTAGATCCACGTCTTCATATAGCCCCCATATACCGTACCCTCCGATATTCGGTGTTTTGATGATTTTAGCGACATTATTTACCGGGATTGTTTCAAATTTCGCATGTGAAGTTCGTAGTAGATACTTCAGCCCATGCCAGAAAATTGTCTGTGCAGGTCCACGCCTTCGTATAGCCCCCATATAACGGTACCTCCCTATATTCGGTATTTTGATGACATTATTCACCGGAATTTTTTTCAAAACTGGTATTTGAAGTTCGTAATGAATACTACAGTCTAAGATAGAAACTTGTCTGTGCAAGTCCATGCCTTCGTGTAGCCCCCATATACCGGTACCTCCCGATATTCGGTATTTTGATGATTTTAACGACATTATTCATGGGAATTGTTTCAAATTTGGTAGTTGAAGTTCAAAATGGATACTACATCCTAAGACAGAGAATTGTCTGTGCAGGTCCACGTCTTGGTATAGCCCCCATATAACGGTACCTCCCTATATTCGGTATTTTGATGATTTTAGCTACATTATAAACAGATTTTTCTTCAAGTTTCGCATTTAAATATTGTAATAACTTATGACAAAAGTTGCCTATGCAGGCCCACGTCGTCGTATAGGCATTCGGTATTTTTAAGATTTCAACAGAGTTATTAACGGATTTTATTTTTTTTTGGAAATTGCCAAATCTTTGTACATATTACGTGCCCCGAGAATAGTTTTTATATTTTAACAATATTTTTCATTTTCACTTACCTTTTACACCACACGCTTCCTTAACGGTAAAAGGTATACCCAACAATGGATAACGGCTAAACAGCATCAAAAGTTGGAACTCATCTTTGGCTTGACTTATTAAATTGTCAGCATGGCGTGCCTCTTTAATCGCCTCCATGTAACGATTTTCAATGACGGCATTAAGTCTGGCATTGACTTCCTTAATGCGAGCAATGTAGGTGGTGACAATTTCATAGGAAGTTATCTGCAATGCAAGCGGTAAAGTTTTCATATTTCCAATTATAATTTAAAAAAAAAAAAAAAACATTGTAATCCAATAATTTACCTTCCTCCCTTTGAGATCAGTCAACAGCTCATTCACCGATTTCAGCAATAGGGGATTTTCTATTGGCGGATAGATCGGGGCACGTCTGGGTATTATTAGATTGGTTATTTCATTGACGATATAGGCCACCGCATTAATTATAAATGCCAGAACCCTCAGGAAAGCACTCATTCTGAATAGTTTGAATACACGCCTAACGCTAAACAAGTTAATTCGACGAGCTTCCAATTGCGACTGATAGCCAATGATCAAACAAAATACAAAATAAAACAAAACACAACAGAACAGAACAGAAAAAATCAAAATGGAAATCAAAATACAGTAAATATAGTAAATAAATTAATTGTTTATTATGTGCACTTATTTAGCAAATAACAACGACTTAGCAGCCGGTAGCCGGTAAATCGTATTCGAATGCATCCACCTTTGAGCGAGAACTTTTGCTGGCCTCCTCACTTCACTTAGTAGTAGCGGTTGTCGTGTTTATTTTGGGTGTAGTATTTTGTTTGCCGATTATCGTACAGCACACAACGGCGACAGACACACGCATGGGTTATCGCGTCCAGACATAGCCAGCGGCCTGCAGACCGCAAAATCAAACCTTAGACTCCAAAACCACAATCATTGTATTTGATCAAAATTAAGAGGGGGATATGTGTTATATTTGATTAGTGCACTTGATTTGTCATCTTGTCTTACACGCAAATAATGTGCCATACAAAGGATTGAGTTGGGGAAAGAAAATATGGAAAGGGATGGTGGCGAATGGCGAAAAGTCGCGAAAATCAAAATATATATTTACTAACAAGTCATGTCACCCCGTTAGCGGAAAGTTTGTATTAACAGGGAATCGATTAAAAAAAAAAAAACAATTAAAAAAGCAGCTAAGTTCAACCGGGCCGAACTTTTAATACCCTCCACCATTTGCAACGAATTTGGAAATTTTCAAAAAATAAAATCCTTAAAAAATTCTGTTAAAATTTTAAAAATATCGAATATAGCCGTTATTTTGGGGTCTATACGACGTGGACATACATAGACATTGTTTGCCATAAGCCATTACCATATTCAAATTCGAAACTTGAAATAACGGTGTAGCTAAAATCATCAAAATACCGAATATCGGGGCTATACGTTATATGGGGGCTATACGAAGACATGGACTTGCACAGACAATTTTCTATCTTAGACTGTAGTATTCATTACGAACTTCAAATACCAATTTTGAAACAATTCCGGTGAATAATGTCGCTAAAATCATCAAAATACCAAATATAGGGAGGTACCGTTATATGGGGGCTATACGAAGACGTGGACCTGCACAGACAATTTTCTGTCTTAGGGTGTAGTATCCATTTTGAACTTCAAATACCAAATTTTAAATTACTTCCGGGAAAAAGGTCGCTAAAATCATCAAAATACCGAATATCGGGAGGTACCGTTATATGGGGGCTATACGAAGACATGGACTTGCACAGACAATTTTCTATCTTAGACTGTAGTATTCATTACGAACTTCAAATACCAATTTTGAAACAATTCCGGTGAATAATGTCGCTAAAATCATCAAAATACCAAGTATAGGGAGGTACCGTTATATGGGGGCTATACGAAGACATGGACTTGCACAGACAATTTTCTATCTTAGGGTGTAGTATCCATTTGGAATTTCAAATATCAAATTTGAAACAATTCCGGTGAATAATGTCGCTAAAATCATCAAAATACCGAATATAGGGTGGTACCGTTATATGGGGGCTATACGAAGACGTGGTCCTGCACAGACAATTTTCTGTATTAGGGTGTAGTATCCATGTTGAACTTTAAATACCAAATTTTAAATTACTTCCGGGAAAAAGGTCGCTAAAATCATCAAAATACCGAATATCGGGAGGTACCGTTATATGGGGGCTATACGAAGACATGGACTTGCACAGACAATTTTCTATCTTAGGGTGTAGTATCCATTTGGAATTTCAAATACCAATTTTGAAACAATTCCGGTGAATAATGTCGCTAAAATCGTCAAAATACCGAATATAGGGAGGTACCGTTATATGGGGGCTATACGAAGACGTGGACCTGCACAGACAATTTTCTGTCTTAGGGTGTAGTATCCATGTTGAACTTTAAATACCAAATTTTAAATTACTTCCTGGAAAAAGGTCGCTAAAATCATCAAAATACCGAATATAGGGTGGTACCGTTATATGGGGGCTATATGAAAACATGGACCTACATGGCCCATTTACGAACTTAATCTGCCTACTGGAAAAATGAACACGTGTGCAAAATTTTAGCCATCTATCTCAATTCATTCGAAAGATAGCGTGATTACAACAGACAGACGGACATCGCTAGATCGTCTTAGAATTTTACGCCTATACAGAATATACATACTTTGGAGGTTCTATTATGAATATTTCGAAGGAGATACAAACGGATTGACAAAGTTAATATACCATAGAATGGTGATGGGTATAATAAACATTAAAACAGCTTAAGTATAAAATGTGAATTTTTATAAAATCGTCGGGTCACATGCCGAAACCTCTAAAAATACTGAACTGTAGACCTTTCGGTTTAACAATTTTGTACGGATCTTCCAATACCCGTTAAGGGGGATTATAAAAAAAAACAAGTTAAAGTTAGGCGACAGATGTACGCCATCAGCCAATGTTCGATTATTTAAATGTGTTATTGTTGACTCTCTGTGGAGTATATTCCAAAGGAATGGACCAATATTGTCCATTTCGGCGAACTGCCGAATTTGGTTTTCTCCGTCGTTGTCCAGCAGTTTGTAAACAAGCAAAATTATCGTGTTTACTTGCTAAAGAGGTCACCTGAAAACGTGAACCTCGGTTGACCACCAGAACTCAAGCGCCGGCCATGGTGATGGTGTGGGCCGCCATAACAGCTGATGGTCACTCATATTAATCGAACGTGGCATCACAATACATGCCGAATATTATCGCGAAAATATTCTGAAGGGTGTATTGGGCAGGCAAACATTTTGGCCGCAGACCTTGGACATTCCAATAGGACCTCAAGCAAGCGCTTCGAAGGGAATGGGCCAAAATACTGCAGATCAACATTCGGGCAGCGTCTGACGGATTCAAAGATGACCAATTCGAACAAATCTAAACTTATTCTAAAATTTGATGCTTTTCTGACCAGTTGGAGTTGGCCGATATTGCTCTTCTCCGAACTCGATGTATGTTTGATACTAATATTACGATGTACTATATTTGGACCAAATCGGATACTCCCTTCGAGAGCTATCGTGTGCACCAGCCAGCCAGACATAAGACGGACGGACATCGCAAGAACTACTCCAAATGTCCTGAAACGGATATGGTCCAAAGAGACGTATGGTCTAAAAATATGGTTGCAATTGGAAATCAATTACAAGAAACATGTAGAAGGACTTTTATTTACGAAATTTTCGAGGACTTTAGGCACAATTTTGAATAGAATCTGCTGTAATTTTCGACTTCAGGTTCTCAGTAAATTGTTCTCTCGTGAATATGTTCAATATAGGCCTACGATTCTAGTTTAGATTCCATAAAATGACACCTTCCGTACTATAGTACTATATTCTAGCCACAATAGATGAAGTTTGCTAGATCCCCATTTATTTTTTGGAATTTTTCCGTACCTATTTATTTTCAGTATTGGGAAGGTTCCAGCCAATTGCCAATTGCCAACCGAGTATGATGGACTTGCTTATTTCAGAATCTCGGTAGATACAAAAAACTTCGTTGTTATAATTAGATTGTTATATTATTTTTTTTTTTTTTTAAATATATTTCATTTCACTTGCATTTGTTGTTAAAAAAACAACCGATTTTGAATTAATTGACGATTTTAACCACATTTATTTGGGGATTACGTAAAAGTCGTTACGTATTATGTGGGATTATTGACTTTAATATTTACTGACGCTTCTGTTTGTTTATTTAAGGTATTTAACCACATAAATATTAAAATTAAAAAAAAATATATATTCTGTAAAAAAATTCTCATTACTAAACAATTAGCTTCCTTAACCAGCTTTGGTTGTCGTAACAATATTTCAAGTATAGATCGAAACAAGTATTCCTGAATACGAACGAGTAGGTGTAAGTCGTTTTATCATCAACTCAATATTTGATTCTACTTTTGCCGAGTACACTTTTAGTTTTTGTCACACCCTTTTTATACCCTCAGTAAAAGTATTCCTGAATACGAGCGAGTAGGCGTAAATCGTTTTCGACTGGGAGTAAAATCAACTCAATATCTGATTCTACTCTTTCCGAGCACACTTTTAGTTTTTGCCATACCCTTTTTATACCGTATATGACTAGAGAGTGTATATATCATTTGATACTACCAAAAAGTGCCTCATCGAAATAACGGTTTTAGATACTATGGAGTCGATCTAGCGAAGTCCGCCCTTCCGTCCATCTGTCTGGCTGGCTGGTGCGCACGATAACTCTTGAAGAAAGTATCTGATTTGGTCAAAACTTGGTACATCGTAATATAATTGTCAAACTTAGATTGTGTTCGAAGATGGGCAACATCGGTCCACTCATTCTGGTACTTCCCTCACAAAGATCGAAATTTCCAAAAAAAAAAAAAAATTATTGCACAGAAAGAGAAAGGATAATCCGATTTTGCTCCAACTTTGCAAAAACCAATATTCACATCAGTGCTAGGTCCGGTGCGAAAATAGACAATATCGGTTCACTCCATCAAGTATCAAATCAAATTTTGAATATAGCCGGGTTGTCCTGAATAAAACACACATCGAAATAATCATCCGTTTCTCTTCATATTTCACACATCCCATTATTACTTCTAACACAAGATCTGCTGTGAAGATGCAATATATCGGTCTATTCCTTCCGGTCCCTCCCACACAGGGTCAACATTTTTATACCCTCCACCATACTATGGAGGGTATATTAATTTTGTCATTCCGTTTGTAACTCCTCTTGATCAGCGTAAAATTCTAAGACGATTTAGCCATGTCCGTCTGTCTGTCTATCTGTTGTAATCACGCTATCTTTCGAACAAATTGAGATAGAAGGCTAAATTTTTGCAGACGTGTATATTTTGTCAGTAGGCAGGTTAAGTTTGTAAATGGACCATGTAGGTCCAAGTTATCTTATAGCCCCCATATAATAGTACCTCCCGATATTCGGTATTTTGATGATTTTAGCGTCGTTATTTAACGGAATCGTTTCAAATTTGGTATTTGAAGTTCGTAATGTATACTTCAGCCCATGCCAGAAAATTATCTGTGCAGGTCCACGTCTTCGTATAGCCCCCATATAAAGGTACCCCCTATATTCGGTATTTTGATGATTTTAGCTACATTATAAACAGATTTTTCTTCAAGTTTCGCATTTAAATATTGTGATAACTTATGACAAAAGTTGCCTATGCAGGTCCACGTCGTCGTATAGGCATTCGGTATTTTTAATATATTAACAGAATTTTTAACGGATTTTATTTTTTTTTTGGAAAATGCCAAATTTGTACCAAATGGTGGAGGGTATTAAAAGTTCGGCCCGGCCGAACTTACAGCTTTTTTACTTGTTGCTTATTTCATCGTCTTCCAAGTTTTTGCTGGGATGCATTAGATTCAAAACTTGGATATTAATATTTAATGCATTGCCATAACTGGACCTTCTAGGACATTTAAAAGATATGTTTATTTAATTCTCTTCGATTTTTATTTACCAGCAATCACTTCGTATCAAATCCATTTTCTTAAAATTTTCCTTTTTCATTTCATTTTTCAAATCTTAAACAAGTTATTCCAATTGCAGGCACTGTATTGCAAATTGGTAAATTAATACAAGTGACTAGGTCCGACCAAATATATTGTTTCTAAGATAATATGAAAATGCCTCTTGCCTCCCAGATTTGGCGTACCACACAGTCTAATAATTTCCCTCACTCTGTGCTCACAAAACTGATAGAATACAACAACAATAACAAAAAACAACAACACCGAACAAATAAAAACAAAATAAATAATAATAACAATTGATTAGCTAAACGGACGGACCTATGTCACAGACGCGGATATGCAAATCGTGTTATGAGCGTGTGTATGTCTGTTTGCGACTCGTTCGCTCGCTCGTCTCGCTATCTATAATCACAAAGAAAATGCCGGCATAACACCAAGTTAAACGATGATAGCAATACTTAGTTACGTGTCAACTAAAATTACTTTTAATCTAAGGCAATGACGTCGATCGATCGATGCAAGATTCTCTTGAAATCTCTCTCACGGTGATTGCTGAGTAGGTTTTTTTTCTGCTTACCTTTAAGTTCATGGTTTGGTGAGGTTAAAAATTGGACGGTTATGGAAGAAATGTAATCGAGTTAGGACTTTGCGAAATGTAAAGCGTGTGAAACAACGACCGACCGAAAGACAAATAATTGATTATTTGTTTGCATTACAGAGATGTTCGAATGTTCGAATTTGTTTCAAGAGAAATGTGGTGTGTTTGTGTTTTGTTTTTATTAAAATATTACATTTAGAATAATTACGAGGGTCATATATTAATTTGGTTTGAGTACAAGCTTGGAATTTTAAGAATATGCTTTAGAGGTCTGTAAAAGTAATAAATGAATTTTTATACCCTCAGTCATATGGTTTGATACGGTCAAAACGTGCCTAGTCTTTGGACCAAATCCGTTTCAGGACATTTGGAGTCGATCTAGCGATGTCCGTCCGTCTGTCTGGCTGGTGCGCACGATAACACTAACGAAGGGAGTATCCGATTTGGTCCAAACTGGGTACATCGTAATATTATTATCAAACTTAGATCGAGTTCGAAGATGGGCAATATCGATCCACTCCTTCTGGTACCTCCCCCACAAAAAGGTCGAAATTTTCAAAAAAAAAAAAAATGTTTTCTGCACAGGAAGAGAAAGGATGATCCAATTTTGCTCCAACTTTGCGAATTCTAATATTTTTTATCAGTGCTAGGTTAGGTGCGAAAATGGACAATATCAGTCCTCTTCATCAAGTACCTCCCCTACAAAGGTTCAAAATTTTGAAAAATTTGATCGTCTTCAAATTTCACACATAGGGTTGCCCATATTCGACGGACCTTTGGGCCCTTTGGGCCAATTCCAATCGACGAGGCTTGTCCGCAGGCAACATTCTTTGCGTCAATTGAATTTTGTACGGGAACAAATGCAAATCAATGCGAATAATCCGTTGTAAAGTGGACCGAGCCATGCCCAACTGCTGAGAACGGCGTTTTTGGGATGTTCTTGGGGACCTCTCAACACTGGCTCGTACGGCAGCGATATTCTCGGCCGATCGCCTTGGTCGACTTTTATATGGCCTCTTCGGATTAGAAAGAGCCTTACCAGTCGAAAATTTTTCGTATAAACGCTTAATGGTGTTCTTAGAAGGCGCACTTCTCACATTTTTTTAAAGCACGTTGAGTTTTCACAATTGACTTCTTCTGTTGAATGTAAATTTCAACCCGCTCGCGTGGCGTGTATTGGTTCATGGTAAAAATCTGCTTGGACTGACGCTTCAAACGCGGTATGTCATTAAGCGATGTGACATCTCTGTCAAAAGTTATGGCGTTGCCAGATGGGTCCGTCGAATATGGGCATCCCTGGTGTTCTGGTGGGTGTTAAGTGTTAAGATGGGCAATATCGGTCCGCTCCTTCTGGTACCTCCACCACAAAAGGACGAAATTTTCAAAAAAATATATATTTTCTGCACAGAATGAAAAAGGATAATCCGATTTTGCTTCAACTTTGCGAATCTTAATATTTGCATCAGTGCTAGGTCAGGTGCGAAAATGGACAGAATCTGTTAACTCCATCAAGTACATCCCCCACAAAGGGTGAAATTTTTAAATAATTCTAACTCTTATAAAATGTTATGTAAGAGTTCCATTGCCTTCAAATTACATACATCAGAATATTTTTATTAACCCAAGGTCTGGTGTAAAGATGAAATATATGGCTTCACTCCTTCTAGTACCTCCCCCACAAAGGGTCAACATTTTGAATATCCATGAAGCTCATAAAACGCCATATTAATATCCTATTCCATTCAGACTTGACAAATCTCAATATTTATATTAACTCAAAATCTGTTATAATGATGGTAGGGATCTTCTTTTGGTACCTCTTCACAAAGGGTCAAAGTTTTGAAAAACCAAAACTATTATAAAATACGTAATAAGCATCTGGTTCTCTCTATATTTCACACATCCAATTATTTCTATTAACACAAGATCTGATGCGAAGATGGAATCTATCGGTTCACTCCTTCTGGTACCTCCATCTCAAAGGTTCAAAATTTTGATCGATCAAAACGATCGTAAAATCCGAAATAAGGATTCAACTCTCTTTATATTTCACACACCCCATTTTTTATTAATACAAGATCTGCTGTGAAAATGGGATATTTTGGTTAACTCCTTCTGGTATCTCCCCCACAAAGGGTCACAATTTTCAATAGTTATATAGGGTAAGTGCGCCTAAGTTCGGCATGTCCCAGTAGTCGGCAGTTTTGAAATTTAAATTTAATTTAAACTAAGTATAGAATTGACCAAATAATGAAATAATTGCAAAAAACGTCAACCGTGTTCTCTGCTCTCTTTCTGTAAAAAGACAATGAGCTCCTATTATTTATTACGAGAGAATAACGCTTTTTGTCAATGAGTGTCTGCCAACACGTGCGAGAATACTTGCTTGTAAAATTAGTGGTGACGTGAACTTAATAATCGATTTAAGTAAATTAAATTTAATACTTTTGGAATCAGAAATATTTCATAATAGTAAATAACAGTCTAAAGACCATTTTATAACTGAAAAAAATACAAATCAAGCATTTTTCTGTTATTTTATTTAATGCCGACATTAGGGTCAGTTAAAAAAGATATTTGCCAGTAGTCGGCAGGGGGTGCTGATTACTAGGAAAATATCATTTTTTGGATTTATTAAAAAATAATCCAAAAACTACTCAAATAAGAAAATAGTTTTGAGTCGGCCGTTGCTTTTATTTGTGCTTTTTGACCAATTTTTCCAAATTTAGCAGATTTTTAAATCAGCTATTTGACCTTTTAGATAGCGGTGGCATTTTTGAAAAAAATGTTACCTATCTAAGGAAAAAGATCAATTCACAAATTCCAAATATAAGAATGACACTTTTTTCTTTTTTATTTAATCTCATTTTTATTTAAATTGAAAATCCATACGTTACTGAATGTAACCATACTATTCTTGATTTTTTTCTACCTATATTTGGTTTAGAATGATAATTAAATAAAACACTATTTAAAAACGAAATTAATTTCAAATTCTGGATTTAACTGTGAATTAGTAATATAGCATTATTTTATACTATTTGAAATAAAAAAATATACAAAATAATATTTTTTTACTGATATACCATATGCCGACTACTGGCAAATAGATATGCCGAGCATTGGAAAATGGTGCCGACTACTGGCAAAAAAACTAATATTTTAGTAAAATTGCAAATTTTGCCAATTTAATAAAAACAAATTCAATTTTTGTTTATTATTTCGAAAAGTAAACAAAATTTGGAATCTGAAAAACTTTATTTTTCTGCAATTGAAAGATTTCACTCAGAATGTTGAAAGTTTGAAAGATTGAAAATCCTAAAAGTGCCGACTACTGGTACACTTACCCTATATATTTATTCAAAGTTTTTAAAGAAGTAATAGAGAACTTTCAGCGACAATATTTTTAACGACTTTCAGGCTCATAAACGTGGAACAATTTATTTCAAAGACAATATTTTTTTAGGAGTATTAGATATTATCAAAGAAAAAAAAAATAATATTTATATAAAATGTCATTATATAAAATACAATTTTGTTAAAAAAAAATCTATTCTCTATTCCAGTTTCACGTACATTTGTTGTACTGTCATTAATACACCAACCTCATAAACATTTATTGACCATTGTACCCGTTTAAAATTGCATTAATATACCGAACAAATATTGAATAATATAAATTTTAAATGTTCCAGAATGCACAAAAAAATATAAAAACGGCGGAACAAGTTTTTTATGCACATTGTTATAATAACATTGAACATTTTGATTAGTGGTGTACGACTTTATATGGGCATCCCGCATCATCGATATCAATATGGGAAATCGCATGTATTTCACAGTTCAGAAACCTTCGTCAATTACAAAGTGTAAACACAATTGGAAAGCTGAAAGCTTGCCAAAGAAGAATCACCTGATAAAATGTTACAGCGTTAAGAATAACGGCTAATGCAGTAAATATAAGCACTAGATTCGAATTGCTATATCTCAAAAAAATATTTCGAGAACGTACAACATTTGTGCCAAAGGTGACCAATTCGAATAAATCTAACCTTATTCTAAAAGTTGATGCCATTTCCGACATTTTTATACCCTCCGCCATACATAGTATGGAGGGTATATTAAGTTCGTCATTCCGTTTGTAACTCATCGAAATAATCATTTTAGACCCAACAAAGTATATATATTCTTGATCAGCGTAAAATTCTAAGATTGGAAGCTAGAATTTTGCACAAATCCCTTTTTTTGTCTGCAGGCAGGTGAAGTTCGCCCCTATATAACGGTACCCCCCGATATTCGGTATTTTGATGATTTTAGCCATATTTTCCTATGGTATTGTCTGAAAATCCACACGAGGAGTTCTTTGTGAGCACTTTAACCCCTGAAAGGTAATTGTCTATATAGGTCCACAACCACTTACTACCCTGAAAAATAATTATCTATATAGGTCCATGACATCGTATATACCTCATATAACGTTACCTCCCGATATTCGGTATTTTGATGATTTTTGCGACATTATTCACAGGAATAGGAACAAATTTCGTATTTAAAATTCGAAATGGGTACTACAGCCTGTGGCATAAGCAGGTCTTCGTCTTCGTATAGTTTACATATAACGATTTTCATTTAAGTGGTAGTTTTCGGATTTTTTATACCCTACACCACAAGGTGGTCAGGGTATTATGTCTTTGTGCATTTGTTTGTAACAGGCAAAAGGAAACGAGATAGACCCATAGTTCCTTTTGATGATCTGCATAGAATCACATTCTGAGTCGATTTATGCATGTTCGTCCGTCCGTCCGTCTGTCCATATATTTTTGTAAACAAAGTACAGGTTGCATTTATTGCCGGATCCAGATGAAATTTTGCACAGATCATTTGTTTGGCCCAAGGACGAACCCTATTAAAATTAGAGATAATCGGTAAAAATTTAGATATAGCTCCCATATATACCTTAGCCCGATTTGCCTTTTATTGTGCACCAAACGTGTAATATCAGCCCGAATACTATGGAATTTTGCAGATACAACCAAATTAGGCCTGAAAATAAGTATGCCAAATTTGATCGAAATCGGTTCAGATATAGCTATAGCTCCCATATATATTG